ACTCTCTTGACTTTAATCACCTCATCCATGCCTTGTCTATTTTTTTTTTCTCTCTATGAGACTTTTGTGACAAATTTACTCCTTTTGATTTAATCATCTCTTCCTTGCAGTTTCTACGCTTCTTTGATTGATTCTCTCTTAGATGCCATTCTGTGAATCCTGAAATATTGCTGTATCACCTTACAGCTCTTTTTAGAGATTCAATGCTTCTCTTTTGATCGTCTCTGCATAATCCGGGTAACTCTCTTAGAACTTTGAGTAATCCATCTCATGTGCACTCAGTTTTGAATTGGAACTTATTCATTCATGTTTCCATGGAAGAACCCATGTTAGATCCAGTGTTTTCACACCCGACCTGGAACCACGAACCACCAAACCCCCGATGACCCGGTAAGTAATTTGGTTTGGCTTTTAAAAAATATCTACTAATTAAAAACCTCATAAAACTCTTAAGTCCGGTAACCCGACTATCGGTTGAACCACCAGTGAATAATTTTTGTTTAGTTTTTTTTCTTAGATATTTAACTACTTTGTTAAATATTGTTTGTATTCCAAAAATAAGAAGTTAGGTTTTTACTTTTAATTTTTAGTTTTCTTATGAACTTATTGTTTTCCTTGCTATCAAATATACTTTATATCTCCTTAGTTTTCTTGTCATGCTCAACTCATAATTTCTTACAAAAAGTTGTTAAATAATTTATTTTTAGAAAATATTATATGTGAAATGAAAATAAAAAGATCAAATTTAAATATTTACGAATTGATTTTGACACATGTCATCAACATATTCACTGTAACCAAAATAAGATGACATGGATTTAGAAAAAAATGACATGGCGTCAGACTATTTATGATAAGTAAAATTTCCTTATAGAATTTTATATTTTTTGGTAATGATTTTTAAATATGGTAATAATAATAGCTCATATATTATATCATTCATCTAAATTTCTCATCCCCTATATATTATTTACGAATCGATTTTGACACATGTCATCACCATATTCATTTTAATCAAAATAAGATGACATAGCACTGAAAAAAGATGACATGGATTTTAAAAAAAATTACATGGCGTCATATAGTTTATGATAAGTAAAATTTCCTTATAAAATTTTATATTTTTTTGGTAATGATTTTTAATATGGTAATAACTAATAGCTCATATATTATCATTAATCTAAATTTTCCATATAAATATTTACTTTTGATAAAGCTATTAAAAATGTATTTATAACTCATATATCACAAGCTAAATAAGATTACAAATATAATTTTTACATCAAATTATACAACACTTTTGAATAAATATATATTTTACCAAAATTAATTATAAATGTGCATCAACTAATACAAAACTAAAGTAACACTAATTATTAAATATGATATAATATAGATGATAAGATATATATATATATAAATATAATAAAAACCATTAAATATAATATAATTAAAATATTTTGATAAAATGTATTTTTAACTTTATTAAAATTTAAATAAATTCAAATTTAAATAATTAAGAAAAATTAAAAGAAGTAAGACTACAAAAATACAAAAAAAATAATTAATCCAAGTCAAATCAAATTTTATGATTTTTTTTTTCAAACCGTTAAAGCTAAAATATAAAAATAATAATTTTAAATAGAAATTTAAAATTTTATTTTCTATTAAAAGTATTATATTTAAAATTATTACTTTTGCGCATGGCGCATGCTAGTTGCCTATTGGGAGTTGTTATAGGAACCTGACCTTTACACTTGTTAGGCCAACCCTAATCGAACGGGATAACGTCAAATATGACTAGCTTCACTCTCCAACCGAACGGTACACCCAACGGCATAAATATGGTGTAACACTGTTCACAAAATACCAAAAAATAAAATAATTTTTTATTCTTACTTTTACCTTAAAATAATATATTTAAATAAATAAATATCAGTTAATTATACTTTTAACATATCTTAATAAGCAAATTAATTAAAAATACAAATGAATACCAACTAAAATAATAAATTAATAAAAAAATATAATTACATAATTAAAATTAAACACACATAAAATTACCAATTAAAACCAATCACACAAAAATTACGGATTGTAATCTTATGTTTTTCTTAATTAATTACTTAATTATTATTATTTACCAAAACTAAATAAATTATTTCAATTAATTTCTTCAGTTTTCAAATTATTGATCAATATTTAATTTTTTATCAATTGCAATTTTATATTTTATTTATTAATTAATCAGTTTTAATAAACAATAATTAATTATTAAAACTATTAAAAAATAAACACCAAACTAAATTTAATATTCTAATAATAGAAAATATTCTTTTTGGTGTGGAATTTGGTGTTTGTGGTTGGAGATGAAAAAGAAAGTGAAACACCAAAACAACAAATTTAGTGTTTTTTTCACACCAAATTTGGTGTATAGGTTGGAGATGCCCTTCGGGCATTATGCCATTATGTTTAAAGCCATCACAATGTGACAAGTGATTGGGTCTCTCACAAATGTTTGTCTCTCAAATCATGTCTCTCTTCACTATTCATCATTTTTTATTCTTTAAATGATGTGCACATTTACTTGTCTAAGTCAACGGAAGTAGACGCTAGTTTTTTGATGCACCTGCTAATCTGAATCCGATCCTTCTTGTTGCAAAATTTCTCGGGTTCTGATTTTTAGATACGGCTCTGCTGTCCCGAGAGAGTACTAACCTGTCAAGAAGAAGAGGTTCAAAGCAAGTAAGTAAACAATGTTTCCGATACGTTTTCCCGTTCATGTCTTGGTAGAATCGAATTATCTAAGTGTGTTGTCTCGAGTATCTCTCACTCAATATCCTCAAAAGAACTTTTGTCAGTTATGGGTGATTCCAGTAGACAAACTCGGGAGCGATGGAGCTACGACGTGTTCTTAAGTTTCCGTGGACCCGATGTGCGCAACGGTTTCTTAAGCCATCTCTACAAGAGTTTAGTGACATCTGGTATATACACATTCAAGGACGATGAAGACCTAGGAAAAGGAGAGCGCATATCCCCAGAGCTCTTGAAGGCCATTCAAAACTCCAAAATTCACGTTGTTGTTTTGTCCAAAAGCTATGCTTCATCATCTTGGTGCCTTGATGAGCTCGTGCACATTATGCAATGCCACGAGAGCGACTCCGGACAAATGGTATTCCCAATTTTCTACAAGGTTCACCCATCAAAGATACGCAGACAAACTGGGTCATTTGCTGAATCCTTTCATAAACACCGTACCCGTCATGGAGAGATGAAGTTGCAGCAGTGGAGGAAAGCTTTAACGAATATTGCAAATTTGATAGGGTTTCACAGTAGTAACGGTTGGTTGGTTCGCTCTACTCTGCTTTTCTTGTGCTTATATATTAATTGTTCAGAAAACACTAAATCAAAGCAAATGACTAGATTTCTTATCTCCATATGTAACCAGTAATGATGTTGCGTTGTGCAGGGGATAATGATGCAGATTTGATAGACCATGTGACTAGGGAAATTCTCGAAAGGCTGCCTAGTTCATACTTGCACTTACCAACATATGCCGTTGGTATTGGACCACGTGTAGCTCGTATCAAGGAGCTAATGTGCTTTGGTTTGGATGATGTTCAGATTATTGGAATCTGGGGGATGGCTGGGATTGGTAAAACGACCTTAGCCAAGGCTGCATTTAGCAATTTCTCACCTCGTTTTGAAGGAACAAGTTTCCTAGAAAATTTTGGAGATTACTTCAAGAAACCTGAAGGGAAGTTTCATCTTCAGAAAAAGCTTCTTTCGGATATCTTAAGGAAGGATGACGCTTTGTTCAACAAAGCGGATCATGCAGTGAAACAAAGATTTCGCAACAAAAGGGTACTTGTTGTAATTGATGATGTTGAAGACATGGTTCAGCTTCACTCAGTCGGAATAGATTTGAGCTGCTTTGGTCCAGGAAGCAGGATAATCATTACAACCAGGGACAAGCATCTGTTAGAGCAGCTTGACGTAGAAAATATATATTCACCGGAGGAACTTAGCGCTGACGAATCGCTTGATCTTGTAAGCTGGCATGCCTTTAAAAGAAGTGACCCTCCTGAAGAGTTTCTCCAGCTCTCGGAAATGTTGGCTAAATACTGTGCAGGACTTCCGTTGGCTATGGAAGTCTTGGGTGCTTTTCTCTACAAGCGACGCATTTCCGAGTGGAATAGCACGTTGGAATCGTTGAAAAGAATACCTAATGATAACATTCAAGCAAAGCTTCAGATCAGCTTTGATGCGCTAAACGCACTACAGAAAGACATATTTTTGGATATTTCGTGCTTCTTCGTTGGGATGGATAGAGACTATGTAGGTTGCATCTTGGATGGATGCAAATTAGATCCTGGAATAGGACTCAGTGTGTTAAAAGAGAGGTGCCTCATTACGATCTATGATAACAGGCTGATGATGCATGACTTACTACGAGACATGGGAAGATTTATTATCCAAGAAAAATATCTGACGAACTGCGAGAAATGGAGTAGATTGTGGGACCGGGATATGTTATAGATGTATTGGCTAACTATTCTGTAAGGAACCTATGCATTCTCTGTCTCAACCAAAACTTATAAGGGAGACTTAAGATAACATTTAACTAATGAAATTGTTTATTCAGTATCAGGGAACATATGCAACTGAAGGACTTAGCTTGAAAGCTGAAGTTACGGCTATTGAGAACTTGGAGGCTAAGGCATTTTCAAATCTACGTAAGCTGGGACTGTTACAGCTCAATCATGTAGCACTCAACGGAAGCTATGAACACTTTCCAAAAGGCTTACGATGGCTTTGTTGGCTTGGGTTTCCTGAGGAATCTGTCCCCATAAACTTACATTTAAGAAGTTTAGTTGTCATGGACATGCAGAACAGCAACCTTAAACGACTTTGGGATCAAAAGGTAAAAATATATGATTATAATTTTAAGGTTACTATGAAATCAGAAGGTACATTTTCGAGGTTTGATTCTTTGATTTTTGTTCTTTCTCGGAGAAGCCTCATGAGTCACTTAAGCAGTTAAAATACCTTGACCTGAGTTACTCTATCCAGCTTACAGAGACTCCAGACTTCTCTTATCTCCCAAACCTTGAGAAGCTGCTCTTGATAAACTGTCAAAGTTTGGTTAAAATTCACAAGTCCATAGAGGTTCTTCAAGGAAGCCTGATTCTATTAAATCTGAGTGGTTGCATCAAGCTTTGTGAACTCCCGCTGGAACTCTATACGTTGAAGTTGCTGGAAACTCTCATTCTCTCGGGATGCTCACAGCTTGAGAGATTGGATGATGCTTTAGGTGAACTAGAGTCCTTGACAACTCTTAAAGCTGATTATACTGCTATAATGCAAATCCCTTCCTCGAGTGATCAACTGAAGAAACTGAAAGAGCTATCTCTTAATGGCTGCAAAGAGTTATGGAAAGACAGACACTGCAGCGATTCCGATGAAAGCTCTCAAGTGGCTCTGTTAACCCCGCTCTCATTGAACGGTTTAAACTGCTTAAGGACTTTACGTTTAGGTTCTTGCAATCTATCTGATGAGTTGGTTCCTGCAAATCTTGAAAGTTTGTCTTCTCTCGAGGAACTTGACCTCCAAGGCAACAACTTCCGTAACTTGCAAACGGATTTTGCTAGTCTACTAAGTCTGCAGATTCTTAAATTGGATAATTGCTCAGAACTGCGATCCATGTTTAGTTTACCAAAGAAGTTGAGGTCTTTATACGCGAGAAACTGTACTGTGTTGGAAAGAACTCCAGACTTACTAGAGTGCAAGGTGTTGCAGTCATTGCACCTCACAAATTGTTACAATCTTGTTGAGACCCCAGGCTTGGAGGAGCTGAAAACGGTCGGAGTCATCCACATGGAAATGTGCAACAGCATACCTTATTCTCACAGAGAAAGAATCATGCAGGTTATTCTCTAAGCCTCTCTTGATTAGCAACCTAACTCTTTTTCACTTATTTATGGTGGTGACTAGGAATGTGTCCTTGGTTGTGATTATATTGATGGTATCTGTGTTACAGGGATGGGCTGTTGGTGCCAATGGGGGAATTTTTGTCCCGGGATCAAGCCTTCCAGAGTGGGTTAATTTCAAGAATGGAACACGTTCAGTCTCTTTTACTGTCCCTGAGCCAACTTTCAATTCGGATCTGGTCGGGTTTACCTTGTGGACAAGCTACGTGAGTCAGCAAGATGATGTGATGTCTGCATACATTCCAAAGATCACACTGAAGAATCAAACCAAGGGATATGTGTGGAGCCGCAATCCAGCAACAGATCAGATTCGTATGTACCGTGAAAAACACATCTGGCAAGGGCACTTTTCAAATGAAGATTTCTTGTTAGAAACAGGGAATCAAGTGGAAGTTTCAGTGGATTTTGGAGATAAAGTCACCATTCTTGAGACAGGACTAACTCTTGCTTACAGAGAAGTCATTGAAGTCCCAGATGAACAACTGAGTGAAACAGATGATGAAGATGATTATGATGTAGTCATAGATGAAAGCCAAAGAAGACCTCGCAGGTATGTTATAATTTATTCCATATAAAGTATGATTTTGACTCATGGGCATGGAGTTTCTTATCTTTCTTTTTCCGTCTCCTCTTTGTCATTTGGATTCCCAGGAAAGTGGGAATGGGTTTAAAGACACTTCTTGGGGCGTTTGGTATGTTGGCATTCATTGTTGTTCTTGGAAAATATGGTAAGACCCCTGCGCCGCCACAACCACCTTCGCAGGAATAGAGCTGAAAAGGATATGGAGAAAAATGCTACACTCCGCATTTTCTCCTTTTCAGACTACTAGGTTTCAGAATGGTTTCTTGATCTTGCTATTGATTGGTCTAAATCTTAATAGAACGCTTACTGGTGTTATTACAGAATGGCTTGGATAGTGGAAGCAGAATGAACATTACAACAAGAAACAAGCACTTGTTTATTAAAGCAGCTTGAATGGAAGAAACACATCTACTCACTGAAGGAACATTATGGTGATGAATCTCTCCACTTCTTTCCCATTCAGACAAACTATTGTAGCATATTTTTTATAGTTTTTTACTTTAAGGTTTACTTTAGACTTTAGTTGTGAAAAAGATGATGTGCATTGTACCTTTTTAAATGATCCTCCATGAATACTAATAGTGGCAAAAGGTCAGATGGCCTTGTAGGCATTTGTTACATTGAGTCTTCTTTTTTGCTCAATAAATTACATTGAATTATTTTTTGCTCAAAAAATTACATTGAGTCTTCTATTTTTTATTTTCTTAATGGTACGAATATGATGACGTTGGTTGTATTTGAAGTACTAAATATATTTAAATTCATTTGCATCATAGACAAGTTATAAACTTTGATATTATTAATATTGACACAGTTTCTGCTTTTACATGACAGTTTCTGCTCTTAAACACAATGGTTGAAGTACACTGTTTTAGAAAACTCATTAGTTCAATATCATTATGAGTCAATGATAAAATAAGATAATGGAAACAATGTGAACTTATTGGTCAAAGTACTTCAACATTTGTGTCCTGATAGATAATGGGATGACGACGTTGTGAGTACCATCCGTCCAAGTCAAACTGCCAAAATAGTAAATAGAATTGGCTTTGTGAGTTGTGGAGACAGTGACTTGGTAGCTGAGCTTCTTAACACTGGAGTTAAAGACCAATGTGTTGGGCGTGACTGAGATTTTGACACCCATAGGAGGCTGAACGACGACTTTATATACAGAGTCAACTGGTCCAACATTGGTAACGGTTCTAGTGAGAGTCACATCTTCCTTGAGGTATGGAATGGTGATAGACGGTAAATTGAGATCAAGCATAGATGGCCTTGGACTCGGACATTTATATAACGTGTTTTTTCGTGATATTGTGGTGATGGACGTCTCGTCATAGTTAGAGGCACATAGGAAACGCCTGTAGTCTTCTGCGTCTGCATCATAGACAAGACCAGGGTGTGCTGCTTTGTCTGGGTTCACTAATCCTCCTCCGAAGTCAAAAGGGTCAGCTAGTTTCCGTGATATGCCCTCTGAGAAGATAGGTTCTCCATAGGGATCCGTTGTGGAAGCTTAACCAACCAAGGAGTCATTCATTAGATCACTAAATAACTCAGTTCAAATACCTTAATGCAAAGTAATACTGGTTTGTTATATTCTCTATGTTGCAATTAGATATATGTTTTAGATTTTTTACACATATTAAGAAAATATATGAACTTTTAGTTATCAATGTATTATTTTTTGTAATTTACTATTTCTCATAATTTTAAACGAATAGGATTTTAATAAATGTATTGAAGTTTACAATTTAACATTAACTTGTATATTGAAAATGTTAAATATGTATTTTTTAGAAACAATTTTTTTTTCTAAAATATGGATTATACTCAAGCAGAGGGAATATATATATATATATATATAGTATGATCGATTTAAAGTCGTGATATGAGTATAATTATTACCAGTAGTGATGAGAGCTGATTTAAGCATGGCAGGAGACCAATCAGGATGAACAGCTTTGAGTAGAGCAACAACACCGGCAACCGCAGGTGTTGCCATTGAAGTACCAGACATAGACGTGAATCCGTTGTCAGAGTTCATTTTTTCTGGGGTAATAGCTGCCATTATGGCTACACCTGGTGCGGCAATATCAGGCTGTATAAACATAATGTTAGTGTTTGGTGAAAAAAAAGGAATGTAGTTAACCTTATATAGAAAAGACTAATCAAAAGTTGTTACCTTAAGAACATATGGAGATACAGAATTGGGTCCTCTGCTTGAGAAGTCAGCAACCTTAGTAGCTACAATTGGTCCAGTGAGTGTGATTGAAGGACTTATTTTTATGGTTGGCTTACTGTAATCAAATGAGTCTTTTAACAACTTGCAAAAGTGATTAAATTAATTAACCAGTGGTTAATTTACTTAAATAAATAAATAATACCTGGTGGATCTTATGTAGTTGAACATTGTGGTCCCTTGTTCATAGTCGATAGTGATCATAATCATACCTCCGGAAACTACGATCATATCACGTTTTTTATCGGCAATGATTATACCTGCCGCCTGAACTTCCATTTGTTGAGCTATATAATTTTCTGCAGTCTCTCCATTTTCAGCAGTTATAAAACATAGCACCATTTTTCCTTTTGCTTCACTGGTTATACTTTTTGAGCCGTCTGCGTATATGAGTTCTGTTTCAATTTCAGGTGCCACGGATGGGGTTCGTACCTACATATATAGTATTGTTAGGATGTTATATCCATGCTCATGTAGAAATTGGCTACACATATTTTTTTTATTTTTTTTACCATTAATGTCACATTGTTTCCTAGTGTCATAGGTGTGGGAAACCACCGGTCAAGGTTGGTGGCAGCCACTGTTATTATCCACGGAGCTATGTTCTGGACGGAGTAAGCATCGGGCCCGAAGTTGCCGCCTGCCATGAGCACTGTAATGCCCTTGGAGACTGCGTGGAACGCTCCATATGCGATCATATTAGTGTTGTCGATTTCCCTTAATATAGGGATGCCCCGTCCTAAAGAAATTGATATCACGTCCACACCATCGGCTATGGCATCGTCCATGGCCTTTAGTACGTCCGCGCTTGCGGATGAGCCATCTTCTGTTTGCCAACACACTTTGTAGACGGCGAGACGTGCCTTAGGTGCTCCTCCTCTCGCTGTACCCATTCCCAGCCCGTGATCACTCACATTTGGGACGAAGGCGCCTGCTGCTATGGAGGCCACGTGGGACCCGTGAGGCACGCCTTCCCTCGCAGACATGTATTCGGTGTCTTGTATTCCGGTGTTCGTTTTGTTTGTCTTCATGAGGCTGTCCATGTAATACCTTGCCCCTATCAGCTTCTTGTTGCAATGCTTCTTTGAGTCGAATTGTTCACCGTCCACACATGTTCCTTTCCATCGTTTCGGGATCGGCCCTAACCCTGTGTCACTAAACGACGGAGACTCTGGCCACACGCCTGGGAACACATACAAAAGTATATATTTTGCATTGAAAACCGAAAACGACACTTATTTTGTAACGAAAAATTTTCTCTACAACGACACTTAATATGAAAGGAGGGAGTATACATTTGGAGGGAGATCTCTACGCAAAGTTTATATTGAAGGTATGTACCTGAGTCCAAGATACCAATGATGACATCCTCACCCATCTTGGCATCATGAAGAAGTCCTTTAGGTGAGCTTGGAGAAAGCCCCAAGAATTCAAACGCCCTTGTTGTTTGAGGCTCGTAGAAAGTGTTGGGTGACACTTGAATTACATCCGGATGCTCTAAACATATTTATGAGAAATCAAATCCATCAATCATAATTAACCTCTTATAAAATGTACTTTGTATCTCTCTATAATAAGCATTTTTTTTTAAGTGCGAACCTGAGATCTTTTTGGCTTGAGAATCCGTAAGATGGGCGGCAAAGCCGGAGAAACCATGTCGATAACTATGAACGATGGACTCACTCGCATCTTTTTTGCTGCAACCATGCATGTTTCCACAAAACCCGTTATTGTTACAATGATTATTAATATCAAAAATATTTTGGTGCACATGTCTAGATATTTGGTTTTTTTTTGGTACCTTCCAAGTAATGATTCTAACATGCGGAGATGCGAGGCCGTTACAAGCTCCGGGTCATTATGCTCTCTTTCACCAAGGTACACTATGTGGATCTATATACGCAATGCAAAATAATTGTTCCTTTACCATTTCGATTTTATGATTCCATTACTATATAATAACAGAATTATTGTGACACATTACATACATTAGTCTCCTCAGAGGCTCCTCCTTCCACAGCGCTAAACTCCAAGTTGAGAATCAACACAACACTCATCATCCCAAAAACCCACCATGAGACTTGAGAACTCATTTTTTCCTTTTGTAAATTAAAAGGAAAAAATATTCAAGAGATCAGTCAATGTCCCCCGGTTGGGTTAATGTGATTTACAAAAGGAATAATGGATCTGTATTTATAACAACGTTTTCGTCTAAAAAAATTAACAGCTATGTTCGGAAACGACTTATTTACCTTCTTCTGACTTATTAGGCTGTAAAACCTAATTACTCTTCTGGTATTTGTTTAATGTAAACCAATATTTTCTATTTTCTCTGTTTTATTGTTATTGTAGCTAATAATATCGTCTGGTTTAGGTTTCTGGTGACATTATTAGTTTCTAAACCTTAACTACTCTTCTCGCATACATTTGCTTAATTTAAAACAAAATTTTCTAGTTTATACTGAATAGTTTTCGAAAACATACCAGTTCCAGCAACAAATTTGGCAAAACTCATTGATAAGAACGTGAAAAATAGGTTGGTAATTGGTAACTATTCAGGTAGTTCGAAGACTTTTTTCGCTTGGTGGTTCACATACCTAAGAGACTACTAGTTTAAATTGATGTAATCTCATCATTTTCTATTTGTAGCCATACCAGCTGCAAGAACGTTTTTTGTGAACCTAAGTATTGTTTATATACAATTTTATATTCATTCTACAAATTTGGGGTTTGGATAACTTCGATGGTTGTCGATATGGACATGTAAAAACATTCACACAGAGGAGATAATGAATAGCGGTGCCTTTTAGCAGCAAATTATGAGTTTTCGTGATTCTCCAAAGCTTCACAACGTTCACGTTGGACTGAAAAAAAACAAACAAATGTAGTTAATTTCGTTGAAAGCATTTACTATATATAGCCACCAATATTAAGTAAGAAATTTTTCAAAGATTTGAAAAGAAACAAAATATGGAAGTTAAACTTTTCTGGATTAACCTAATACGGATTTATTGTTAATTTATGGTCGATATTTTATAATTTCTTTTAGATAGATTATGTTATTCCATGTGATGTGTATTGAAGATTTTTAGCCAAAGATGTGAAAGATACACAATCTCGATCAATAAAGATGTTGAAAGAGATCACATCGGAAATTTACGAAGAAACTAAGTAACACTCTCTTTGTTTCATGTTATTTTGACATTTTTCTTGTTATATAAAAAGCGTCATTTTAGAAATTTAGTACAGTTTATGCATATTTTAAGTTTAGTATTAATTGCGGAACATTGATTTATATAAAATTTTATTTATCAAACATTATAAGTTGTATAGTTCTAACTAATAAGATAATAAATATATTTCAATTATTTTCTTAATTAATTTGGAAAATACATTTTCCACGTATCTACTTATTAAACTTATTAATTGCCCATTTTGTTTTATAAAAAGTGTTATTTGAACACTTTTTGTTTATTACATAAGAGTACTAGGGGCGGTCCGCGCTTCGCGCGGGATGTTTGCTTCAATTGGTATTGAAACGAAACTATTTGTGTGGTCTAAGTTGTTAGATAATTTGTTTGTATGAAACTACATGTAATGGGATTTTATCATATATATATATATATATATCATTTTCTTTTTGAGGTGATGCGAGTGAAATTGTTTTTTTTATATATATTTTGCGGATTATTATTTTTTTAACATTATTTTTTTTCCGAAAAAACACAATTTTTTATTGGATTTGATGTGAGTTTCATTACCATTGAATAAGTTTTCTAATGGAATTATTGTTATTACTAATAAATTTGTTTTATATTTTTATCATAACGATAGATATATATTAACTTGTTTTGTATAAGTTATCTAATTTCACTTCAGCTTTCTTTATTTTTTAGAGTATTTTATATTGTGTCTTTGTTGAATTATGTGAATACATATTTTTATTTTCATATCAATATTGAAATTCTGTTAATATTTTTATTCGATATATTTTAAATTTTTCGCATTTATTTTTTTAAATAGAACAAACCTGCGTTCGCGTTCACAGTACTTATAAGAATTTTTCTTTTTGATACTACAACCAATTTAATGAGAGTTTTACAAATATTAAACTAATTTAATACGTAGTATTTATTTTCCCTATTTGCTACAACAACTTTCACTATTTTTTTTATTATTGTCTTTATAAATTACATATTTATTTGACTATTAAACAATTCTTGAAAATAAAATTTTCATTTTATTCTTGATTATTTTATAGTTTAATTTTGAAAGTAAGGAGAATGTAATTTTAAAAAAAATCTAATCGATTGGATTGAACATATAAACATAGATAATTTCTTTTGATGTGTTTATTACTTGAATTCAAGATCAGCTAAAATACGACAACGACATAGAAGGCCTTATTGTACTATCAATCAATAAATTAAACACACTTTAGAACTAATGCGCTTAAAGAGAAGCTAATATATATATTTTGTTTTTAAATGAACAATAACCAAAACTTGCCTACTAAAAATGATTGAGTCTGCAATTTGAATAGCGTTTTATCTGTTAGAAAGTCAAACACATGGAAAACATTTGTACAATAAAACCACATATTACAACTGAATGATTTCGTATCTACAAAAAAAATGCTACTTGATTCCAATCAATGTTTTGAAATTTTGTTTGAGGTTTCAACGGTTCTAAATTTTTAGATAATTACATGATAACCCTATATGTAATTAATGAATTTGAGAGATAAGATAAGTCTGAAGAAGTTGAGATCTTCCAAACAGTAGGTAAGGTTTTCAGTTTCATATAAGACCTCAAATTTCTGCAACTTATAAGAGACTTTCCAATTCGACATAAAAAAGGGTTCTTAATAGACTATGCTCTAATACTATATTCAACATATAGGAGGTTCGAACATTCGTTTGGGACAACAAAAATAACTCGTGTATGCTTAGAGAACGAATAGTATTTGGTCGAGACCAATATAAAAGCATAACAAACTATATAATTGTAGTCGTACACATATGTACAACCGTTGATTAAGAAATATTATTTATGCAAATGCTTATATCTTATCATAACCATAATTTATTACATAGTTTTTTTATTTTTCAGTGAGTAGCCATAACATTCCTATCAAGTCTAAATGTTATTATAACTCAGCTAGATAACTTTTAATTAGAATAAGACAATATATGAGGATTTCGGAAAAAAATGTTTAAAAAAAAAGTGTTTCAAAAAAATAGTAAAATAATAAGATGATAAACTCCAAAATAACATATTTATTATAGTTTTAGATTTTAAAAAAAAAACATACCAAACTCCATAAGAACTTAAGAGGACATCTTTTAAAACAAAAACCAACGTTAATATGTAATCATTATTGTAATATCAAGTACTCCATCCACTTCACAGCCCTCATCTTAACCTATTCCTTACGGGGCTTCTTTACCACCTTGGAAGACTTTGATGCCTGAGGTTTCTTGATGATGACAACACTTAGAGATCTTCCTGCAGTCAATGTTTCAGCACACTCGTTACGACCACCGTCAATCTTAGTACCGGCGGAGATGACCCCATGCATATTATCTTCATCATGATCACAACCCTGATAAAACAGAGACGTATAACGGAATGATAAGAATGTCATATAAGTTGAGACTTACATGGGCAAGAAAGCCAGGGACATGCATACGGTCATTCAGAAAAATATTCCATGTGTGTTTGAAGAATATTAGGCTACTCACATGTCAGCACTAAATTTTGAAATTACTATAAGTGATGGTATGCGTTATGTGTTTAAGAAGTTGTACCTCAAGATGTGTGTTGGTGTTGGCTAGGCCAATCTGAAAGCATGAGGCGTTCTTCAGAAATGGGAAAATCTGGTTTGGTTAGAACATCTAGATTGGTTGAATCACTGAACCGGATTGTCAGAAGTGAGTGTTGAAAGCCTGAAGTTCTGGTTGCACTGAGAAATTGCCAAATCCACTGAGTTTGAATAGTTAACCATCCTGGAGACAATCACTGAAAGTGGCTAGCTGGTGAGCATTCACGGTGGCTGGCATGAGGGATGACTGTAACGAATGTGAAAAGAGATCATTATAAAAAAAAACGTTAAGAAAAAACAAAAAATGTTCAGTGAAGATCTAAATCTGTATAAAAGTCTCATCCTTATGAAAGTAGTTGCTGGGAGAATAAAATATACTATGAGACTGACTTTTAAAATCGTTCAAACCTTCGCATCAAGGAGGAGAATATCCACTCCGATTAACTCACCACCGCATTTTATGGCCTCTCAGAATCAAAGCAACTGCACCTGGACGGTGGAAGAGCAGTGACCAGCCTTCAAATCACCAAGACGAACCAATGAGTTAGCCATGATTAGAAATTTTCTTTGTTTTCTGGAGAATCACAAACTGAGAAGATGGTAAAGCTAACACTATTGAATGTTGGAACGTAATCAATTTTTAGAAATTAAGGATTGGTAAAATGGATTCGGGAAGGGTGAAACTGGATTTGTATTAGCCTGTGTGCAAGCTCTGTTTAATAAACAGACGGCGGAGCGACAGTGAATGCGACAGAAACATGTTCATCAAGGATTTTTTTTTTTAAATCTATTAATGACGGCGAGAAGGTGTAAATCATCTATACCGTGAAATAACTCTAGTTAAGAACATAAGGCGGAGTTTAAGAATATACCTGAGTATTGAGTAGGACCATATCAACTACCATGAGCTCCATAACCGGAGTAACTTGAGTTGAACAGTGGTTGTGGATCGCCCAGCCTGAAAATTAGAGAGGAAGACAAACACGTTAGCTAGAGGAGTTGTTTACTGCTTGTTTGAAACGAAAGAGAGAATGGTTTTCAAGGTTCAGAGAGCTCACCTTTTTATAGTACCACAACCACCGCCTATCGAGCTCATAATCCATATTGATTACAGATCGTGAGTGGTTTAATGGAGGATCTTATCGTGATTCTAGGGTAACGGCTATCCGTTGGTGAGGTGACGAAGAAGACGAAAGATCTATAGGGGATACGGCGATCGCCAAGAGGTATGGAAAGGTAAGGAAGGAAGCTGCTGTAAACCTAGTAAAAAACGCAGTGTTTCATTGTTGTGGATCTGTTAACGGGCTTCAAGGAAGTTAACAAAAAGACAGAAGCCCAATTATGTGGAAACCCAGAGTATTAAACAGAAATCGCACCAAAACGCCGTGAACTCTCCAACGACGCCACGTGGCAAAATCAGACTCACTGAATTAGTGACGTGGCTTGAGCAGGAGGGAGTGAACAATACTTTATATATATAGATTATAGAGTCTATTCGTGTGTTGTTACTTGATATGATTTTAAGATATATAATAAATTTTGTTATTCTTTCTAGTGATTTTGAGCAAATGAGATGGACACAATGTAAACTTATTGGTCAAAGTACTTCAACATTTGTGTCCTGATAGATAATGGGATAGTGACGTTGTGAGAGCCATCCGTCCACATCAAACTCCCAAAATAGTAAATAGAATTGGCTTTGTGAGTTGTGGAGACAGTGACTTGGTAGCTGAGTTTCTTGACGTTGGAGTTAAAGACCAATGTGTTGGGTGTGACTGAGATTTTGACACCCATAGGAGGCTGAACGACGACTTTATATACGGAGTCAACTGATCCAACGTTAGTAACGGTTCTAGTGAGAGTCACATCTTCCTTGAGGTATGGAATGGTGATAGACGGCAAATTGAGATCGAGCATAGATGGCCTTGGACTCGGACATTTGATTGTTTGCTTTGATATTTTGGTGATGGACATCTCGTCATAGTTAGAAGCACATAGAAAACGAATGTAGTCTTGTGCGTCTGCATCATAGACAAGACCAGGGTTCGCTGCTTTGTCTGGGTTCACCAATCCTCCCCCGAAGTCAAAAGGGTCAGCTAGTTTCCGTGATAATCCCTCTGAGAAGATAGGTTCTCCGTGGGGATCCGTTGATGAAGCTTAACCAAGTAAAAAGCCAATTGATTAGATCACTAAATTACTTAATTCAAATACTTAATTGGATATGCAAAATAATAAAGTTATTTGATGGTAGGACATATAGTATAGTGATTTGTTATTTTATGCCGATTTAAAATCATAAGAATATAATTTGAGTAATTCTCTCAAATAGTTTTTTTTTAAAGTTTTTATCAGAAAAATAGTGCTCAAAAAAATAAAATAACTAAAACAATTTTATTTTTTTTTAAATTTATTTTCTTAAATTTGAAACTTTAAACCCAAAACCCTAGCTTTTCACTCTAAACCTTAAATCTGAATTAGTTAACCTAAAGATATAAATGCATATTTACCCTTTAATAAAATTTTATTTTTGTCACTTTTTTTAGAGCTATTTTTATGAAAATAAACTAAAAAGAGATATCCAATGAAATTTCTCATATAACTTTACCTGTAGTGATGAGAGCTGATTTAAGCATGGCGGGAGACCAATCAAGATGCACAGCTTTGAGTAGAGCAACCACACCAGCAACCGCAGGTGCTGCCATTGATGTACCAGACATAGCCGTGAATCCGCTGTCGTAGTTCATTTTTTCTGTGGTACAAGCTGCCACTATGGATACACCTGGTGCTGCGATATCAGGCTGTATACGTAATGTTGGTGTTCGGTGAAAAAAAAAGGAATTAATGTAGTTAAACTATATTATATAGAAAAGAGTAATCAAGTTGTTACCTTGAGAACATATGGAGATACAGAATTAGGTCCTCTGCTTGAGAAGTCAGCAACCTTAGTAGCTATAATTGGCCCAGTGAGTGTGATTGAAGGACTTATTTTTATGGTCGGCTTACTGTAATCAAGTGAGACTTAAAACAACTTGTAAAAGTGATCAAATTAATTAACCAGTGGTATAAATAAGTACCTGGTGGATTTTATGTAGTTCAAAATTGTAGTCCCTTGTTGATAATCGATGTTGATTATAATCATACCTTCAGAAACTGTTATTATATCACTTCTTCTGCTGGCGAGGACTACACCCGCCGCACGAACGGCTAGTTGTTGAGTTATAAAATCATATGCAGTCTCTCTATTTTCAGCAGTTATAAAACCTAGCACCATTTTCCCTTCTGCTTCACTTGTCATCTTCTTTGAGCTGTCTACGTATATGAGTTCTGCTTGGACTTCAGGATCCACGGATGGGGTTCGTGCCTACATATATAGTAGTAACACGTTAAGATACTGTTACATGTAGACATTGGCTAGTTTTGATTTGTTTTTTTTTTACCAATAATGTCACATTGTTTCCTAGTTTCAAAGGTGTGGGAAACCACCGGTCAAGATTGGTGGCAGCCACTGTTATTATCCATGGAGCTATGTTCTGGACCGAGTAAGCATCTGGTCCGAAGTTTCCGGCTGCCATGAGCACTGTAATACCCTTGGAGACCGCGTGGAAAGCTCCATACGAGAACTCATTATAGGCATCGATTTCACTGAGTATAGGAATCGCCCTTCCTAAAGAAATTGATATCACGTCCACACCATCGGCTATGGCATCGTCCATGGCCTTTAGTATGTCCGCGGTCGCGCATGAGCCATCTTCTCTTTGCCAACACACTTTGTACATGGCGATACGTGCTTTAGGTGCTCCTCCTCTCGCTGTACCCATTCCCAACCCGTGATCACTCACATTTGGGACGAAGGCGCCTGCTGCTATGGAGGCCACATGGGACCCGTGAGGCAAGGCTTCCCTCGCAGACATGTATTCGGTGTCTGGTATTCCGGTGTTCGTTTGGTTATTTTTGAAGAGGCTGTCCATGTAATACCTTGCTCCTATCAGCTTCTTGTTGCAATGCTTCTTTGAGTCGAATTGTTCACCGTCCACACACGTTCCTTTCCATCGTTTCGGGATCGGCCCTAACCCTATGTCACTAAACGAAGGAGACTCTGGCCACACGCCTGGGGACACATACAAAAATATATATTTTGGATTGAAAACCGAAAAGGAACGAAATTTTTTCTCTACAACGACACTTAATATGAAACGGAGGGAGTATACATTTGGAGGGAGATCTCTATGCAAAGTTTATATTGAAGGTATGTACCTGAGTCCAAGATACCGATGATGACATCCTCACCCATCTTGGCATCATGAAGAAGTCCTTTAGTTGAGCTTGGAGAAAGCCCCAAGAAATCAAACGCCCTTGTTGTTTGAGGCTCGTAGAAAGTATTGGGTGTCACTTGAACTACATCCGGATGCTCTAAACATATTTATGAGAACTCAAATCCATTAATTATAATTAACCTCTTAATTATAAAAATGTGTGTTTGTATAAAATGCTTTTTTAAAGTGCGCACCGGATATCTTTTTCGCTTGTGAATCCGTAAGATGGGCAGCAAAGCCTGAGAAACCATGTCGATAACTATGAACCATGAACTCACTAGCATCTTTTTTGCTGCAGCCATGCATATTTCCACAAAACTGTTAGTTAATTTTATTTTCAACAACATTTTGTTGCACATGTTTAAATATTTAGATTTGTTGGTACCTTTCAAGTAATGATTCTAACATGCGGAGATGAGAGGCCGTTACAAGCTCCGGGTCATTATGCTCTCTTTCACCAAGGTACACTATGTGGATCTATACATGCAATGCACATTGACCCATTCCATTGCCAGATCGATTTTATGTTTCCATTATTATATAATAACAGAACTATGACGCAATTACATACCTTAGTCTCCTCAGAGGCTCCTTCTACGACGCTAAACTCCAAGTTGAGAATCAACACAACACTGATCATCACCCCAAAAATCCTCCAAGAGACTTGAGAACTCATTTTTTCCTTTTGTAAATTAAAAGGAAAAAAAAACTTCAAGAGATCAGTCAATGTCTCACGGTGAGTGAACCTGATTTGCAGAAGGAATAACGGTCTTGTGTTTATAAAAACGTTTCCGTTTTAAGAAAACAAATAAAAAACAGCTTGTTTGGAAACGACTTATTTAGAGCATCTTTATTGATCAGTCTCTCAAACTGATTATCCAAGTCTTGGTTTATTTAAATATAATTTGTTATGCAATTAAAATTAATGATTTTCAAAAATATTTTTTTTTTTTTTTGAATGAATGTTAAATTAATTCAAAGAAAAAACTTTTGTACAATGAATGTAACTGTATCTGAAATAGTTGCTAAATTTTCTTGAAAAAAATTAAACTCCAAAATCATCTAAATGAAAACCATGTTTCCATGGCCTTTGTGTGATATCGATCTCCTATGAGTCTGAGACTTGAGAGTCGGTTCCTGACAAGTTTGTCAATGCACCGAATCACAGCAGCAGGGCTGTTTGGGTTCTCTCCATGTCTTCTTCCATTTCTTTCTTTCCAGATGGTGGAAAGTGTCGCTTGGAACACATATCTGAGGAGGAAAAGATGAGTTTTATTCCTGGTTTCCTCTGTTAACAGACGAATGATCTCTGTCCATTCAGTTGTGTAATCTAAAGATAGGAGCTTCTGAGTAAGGTTCTTCCAAACTTTCTCAGAGAAAGAGCAGTTGAAGAATAGATGGTTTCGGGTTTCAGTCGGCTCAGGGCAAAGGCTGCAGGCCGCTGAAGCCCCTGTGTGCCAATGAGAGATTCTATCTCCGGTGGGTAGTCTATTTAAGGCCGCGACCCATGCTGTGATTTTCAAAAATATTTACTAGTAGACCATTTACACTTAGAGAAGAATACCTCAGAATAAATTTGAAAGTTTCTTTATAAATGACATTATTAGGTTGTAAAACTTAACCCCTCTTCCGCTATTTGCTTAACTAGTTGCATACTCCCCGCGCAAGCGTAGAGCCAGAATCATTGTGTTTGCATATATTTTATATTGTTGGTTTAGTGGATTCGACACCAAATAATAATGAAATGGAAAGAATGTAATAAGAATGTAAAGTAAAAATATTGTATATATAATGTGTTAAATGTTATTTATATGCGAAGTAAGGTCTATAGAAATAGTTAAACTATAATATTTTTTTTAGTGTGTAAAAGTAGGTGTCTATTTTTTTTTGTTTCTTTTTTGCTGTAAATAGTTTTTATATCGTATGTCAAAACTTGATATAATTCCATATTTATACTATTTATATTTGTATGAAACGATTAATCAATTTGAAAATAACCTTAATTAAGTTAATATTCGTTGTTTAGGTTTCATTAGATAGGTTTTTATATTAGGTTCTAAAGCTTTGATCAAGGCATGCCGCTAAGAGCATGTTTAATAAGAGGTTCTTAGCGAAATATACGAACCCGTCTTTTAATTTTTAACTGAAAAATAAAAAATTGATTCTTAAAAATCAATTTGAGATGTTCTTAGTTTTTTTAGTTAAAATTTAAGAGACGGATTCTTATATTTCGATAAGAACCCTCCCCCATTAAACATGTTCTAAGTTAATTAATATCTTTGGTGGTTTGGTTCAGTGAATTAAGTAAGAACATCTCAAATCTCATTCCATAATTTACTATAACATGAAGTATAGTTGGATATGCTCTCAGACATTAAAGTGCTCTTCTTAGAGCACCTTCAACTTTGTCAATGAAATTCTTGTTAGAATTTTATCATTATTATAATTTATCTAGTTAAACTTTATTTTCTTTTAGATATTTAAGCGGATTATAAAACAACAGCTGCAGAGTGATCCAGAGGAGTTCTACAGGCTTCTCTTTTGAGAAAATTTTGTTCAATGTTTCTCATATTTTTCTTTTTCTATTAATTTATAACTCAGTTTCTAAGTGAAACACCACCAACAGACCTGCTCTCAGGACTTTATAAAATCTTCATGTCAACTACAATGCAGTTTAGTAAGGTCTAGAAATTGTGTTTGTTTCACCATCTCAAAACCGCATCTGTACTTTTATATAAAATGAATAATCTCTATTACAAAGATTGTTAAAATATGTCTTTACAGTAAAACTTATCAATTTTTAAGAGAAATTCAGAGAAATATTATTTTCATTCTTAAATATAGAAACTAAAATAACATTACTCTATTTTTCTTTAAAGATAAAAAAAAATTATATTATAAAAATATACATTGGAGCAAAACTATATGTGCAAAGCTATCTCTATAATAGACTCCGCTATTTAAAAGAAAAATAAAGAGAAACCTCAAAGATGTTATTAGGGCTGGTTTCATGACTTCATCTACTTTAGCTATACACTACGCTAATCATCAATTCTTGGATCTAGCTGTCAAGGAACTAAGAGCATGCCCATTAGGGAATTTAAGGGAGGGTTTACACGTTTTTCGAGAGGAACAATGATGAATTTGATGCGCGTGGGTTCGTCGTGGTGAACCCGATTCGTCACGGATTCACCTCGTGGCGGCCAAACTTTTTTTTTTTCTCGAAAAAGTAAAAAACAAAAAAAGAATTTCTTTTTTTCCTATGAAGCCCTCCCCATCAGGTTCACTGATGGGGATGCTCTAAGTGGCTGGCTTACTAAGACAAGTACCACCAGTTTTGTCATTTCAAGTGTAATAATCAAGAAAGCATTCATCATTTCAAGGCACATTTTTAAAATATTAAAGAGCCACCAGAGTCAAGGCAAATCTTCCCATTCGTAACCAAGTGGCAATTGAGCTCTGTCTTCGGGCCCTGACGTCAGGGGTTCGATCCCTCCTTACCTCCGTTTGAGGATATAGGTTCTAAAGTGACCAAATTGACAAAAAAAAAAAAAAAAAAAAGAGCCACCAGAAACAGAGATGTTAGAAGAAAATAGTACCATAATCCAACTATACGTTATGTTTTGATGTGATCTCCTACAAACACATGGGAAGATTTGTAAACTAGCACGTCTACATGAACCTGCCATGCTAAACAAATAAAAAAACGGAACAAAAGGTGATCCATCATCAACCTGCCTGGACCTTCTTCCCATCTTCGATAAAGAAAATGGATCTTTCAGGTACCTGGATATAGACAATGCAACAGTCAATAGTTTTCACGAAGCTATTCATACAATGAATACAAAAAAAAAAACAAAGAAGGATAGTAATGTTACATCGGGCCAAGTGTCTGTAATGAATTCAACGATATCATAGATTATATCTCCTTGAACATCTATCTGCTCCTTTTCAGTTGGTCCCTGGAACGCAATTTAAAATAAATAAAAAACTAAGCATAAAAAGAAGAAGAGGAAATAAACAGAATCGTTCTGATGCGGTGATACACTGCCCAGCATCACTAATATATCTAAGTAAATGACCTATAAATGTAATCCATTTTATTATACATACCTTGACAACTGATGCTCCAGTAGCAAACTTCTTCCCAAGCTTTTTAGACGCGTCACTGAGTTTTATCCCTGATTAACAATTTTTTAAGTAATGAGGTTTATTTATTTCAGCCTAAGAGGACACACTACAAAAGAAGCAAATAACTCACCAAACTGTTCTAGTCCTTTCACAATGGTGATACACTTGCGCTTGTTCCGGACAACCTTTTCAATAATAACTTCTTGCCTCTCCTAATTCAGGAACAAACAGGGTTGCATGAACGAAGATTGCCAAAAAAAAAAAAAAAACATTGATAAGTAAGTCCATTCAGATGTGTGTAGGAGGAGGAAAGTTTGGACTTACTTTCTTTTTTAGTTTTCCCCCAGGAAGGCGTTTCACTTCCTCCTTCTTGGATGTACCTACAACATAATGGAGAATCTAGTGGTTAGAAATTCAACAAGGCCAATCAGTAACTCTACAAAAAACACTTCTCAATCACGTTTAACAGCTCTACTGTAAGATCTCCCAGTGAAAGGAAAACACTATACATTTCCAGCCATTAAGAAGCTAATATATACTTAGAGTTCTAAATAGCAATAACGTACATGTACTAAGCACATTTTACACAGCCTTACTTAAGTATACTTGAAAATGTGTATGTATACATACCAGTCTGAGATGAAGACGTTGCAGCATCAGCTCCACCTGAAGAGATTCCCACCGACTGGAGTTTGTCAGAAACATTATCTGTTGCCTTCTCATTAGCTTCTGAACACACAGTTAATAAACAATCCAAAATCAAATATTAGTAAGTCATAAAATCAGGTTTAGAACTCATTGTCCTAACCCAAAGAAGGGTACAAACATCATCTATGAGTGAAAGATACACACAAAAAATACAGTAACTTAAATACGCAAGTGATGTCTTTCTTAAGACATGATTACAAAAGATTCACCAAACTGAACAGACCACAATGTTCTAAAAATCGCTAGGCTGTAGTTATGTTTTTTTTTTATATGGGATTAAAGATGCCTGCGCCTAGACCAATTTTTTTTTTTGAGCCTAAACAGTTAGTTTTTAAATAATCGTTCTAAATAAATTGTTAGGTTTTAAGTATGATTAGTTGCAGTATAAACCAATTTTTAGAACATTGCCACATATCAATGTCATAAGTAAATGAATTAAGTTAAAAACAAAGTGTGAAAATGTTAGAGATTATTTCTAACACAATCTAAATCAAACGAGTTCCGAGGAGTGATTGAAACTTATAAAATTAGGGTTTGTAAGGGGGAGACCTTTGAGGAGGTCAGGGTAGAGATCTGGGGCGTTGTCAATGAGCCAAGGCTTACATCTCCCGAAATCTGGACCGAACTCACAGTATTCAGCTGGAAGTGAGCAAACTCCACAGTACAAAACCTTCGCCGGCTCCAGCTTCTCCGCCATAGATTAATGATGAAACGAAACGTTTGAGTAGCAAAGTTGAAGGAAGCGCTTCCTCCCCGCGAAGCGTATTATGTCAGAGACGAATAGAGAAGAAAAGCGAAAAGCTTTCGGACAATTTGTTGGGCTTCGAATTTCATTGGCAGGCTACATAGTATTCGGACATTAGGTTCGGTTTGGGCCTGGTCTTGTTCTATCAGTTTCTTTTCTCGCGGGCTTTTTCAAAAGTATCATGAAATTAATTATTGGAAAATTGGCTATAAAAAAAAATCATATTAGGTAAGTAACCAAATTCCCCTTCTCTCTCTTCCATCATCTTCCTATCTCTCTCTCTTCTCTCTCTAAAAATCTAATTTTTATGGTTATTTCACAAATAAACCCTTAATTATTTCCTAACAATTTTTTTTCCATCAACTTTTGGATTTTACTAAATTTTTGACCCGCATGTACTATTTTTTTTGTTTTATCTACAAATGGATTAATAAATCTTTTTTTTTGATGGTATAAAATGTCACATGATCAAGATCAAGTTGGATATGAAGACATTTTTATTTTATAAATAAGTTAAACAATGATTGTATCTGAAATTTGTACTCGAGCAAGATAGTATATTTAACAATTATATTTTCTATTTAATATTTCTAAACATATAAAGCGGCCCAATTTTTTAAAATTTTGTGATTAATTCTTAAAATCATTGAGTTACCAAATTTCAATATCTAGTATAACTTTTTAAAATTAATGCTTATTTTAACTTTCAGGAAACACTATCATGTATTAATATTCTCAATTACACTTTATCAAGATAATTTTTCCACCAAAAGATTGTATTCAATCGTGTAAATGTATTGAACGTAATCGTGTAGTTTTATTTTTGAAAAATATAATAATAACAATACAATTAATTAATGTACGCTTATTAAGGTATTTTTGCAAGAAAATTAAAAAATAATTAGAAGAGGAATTTAGTCCATTAAATGGATATTGATATGTACTTAAGTATATAGTTTTTAGGCCCAAAAACCGAAAGACAATAATATCATTGATGAAAACTGAAATTTGTTCATAAAATTAAGGACAAATTTGAAAAACTTAAATATTTCATTAGGGGAAATAATCCTCCTTTAATGGTATTGATTAATTCCCAACTGATTGGAGGAGTATAATTAGCATCCAGTACACACACGCATCAACTTAAAAAGAAGAATATAACAGTGTCAAAAATTGTACATACAGATCTGAGACTGTAACTCTATCGTATAAAAATTCTTCTCTTCTATTAACTATATTGCATCTTTTGAATTTGCACTCCTCAGACTCTATCTTTCGCCTAATCTTTAATTTGTGTTTGAACTCCATCTTCATCAGATAATAACCATCCAAATATAAATTGATTTGACCAAATAAGAGAGCTTTTCCGTCTTCAATATAGAGAAGTCGCTGATTTTGCTAAGGCTTCGTTGTAGTCAGCCGATTTAATCCCATACCATTGCTTCCTTTCTCAAAAGAGGCTTTAGTAATAGCCAATATTGGCTGCAGGAGAGAGTTAATATTAATTCTTTGCGAAATAGATTAAATGCAAGTCCCTGAAGAAGAAGATTACCCAACACAAGATAAAATGGATTTGGAAATTCATTGTGAAATAGGAGAGTATTAACGTTATTTGGACTCAAAACAAAGAAGGATTCCAAATTAATCATGAAGAACAAGTCTGATTTGTTTTGATAATACACTACAAAATCTGTAAACGAACCAAGTAAAGATGGTCTAGTGTTCCTGAGGGAATTCCGATCCCAATTTTAACCCATGTTCGAATCCCACTAGCCATTAGGGGGAAAATTTAACATTCGGATTTCCCAATGTAAGATGACAAATATATATCCACTTCGATAAAGACCAAAATACACAAAATTATTCAAAAAAAATTGATAAGCGAACAATATATCCAACAAGTGCTAGGTTAAATAGTTTATTCTCTGAAAAACAAGTCTGATTTGTTTTGATAATACACTATAAAATCTGTAAGCGAACCAAGTAAGGATGGTCTAGTGGTACTGAGGGAACTCCGATCCCTATATGAACCCATGTTCGAATCCACTAGTCATTAAGGGAAAATTTTAACATTCGGATTCCCCAACGTCTGATGACAGAGACATATCCATTTCGATAAGGACCAAAATAGACACAATTAATCAAAAAAAAAAGGTAAGCGAACAGTATATACAACAAGTGGAAATCAAAATTTGATATTTAGATCGAAAATATAAACAACAAAAGATCGTCTAAAGACCGAGATAAAGTCCATTCTCATCTTTCTGTGAAATAATTTGAGCGGAAACAAAAAGAAATAGCTATTTTTTTGTTAATTTTTTTATAATAGATTTTAAATACACATTCTTGTATAAACTATATATATATATATATATATATATATATATAAATCTTAACTTTTTATGAAATAATTATTTTGATGTTATGATATAAACTATAAGCCTTTAGTGCACATGTGTGATGTTAAGAGATAGCATTTGAATATATTAAACTACATACCATTTATGAATAGAGTCTACATTAAATATGTAACATGCAGTGCTAGGTTAAATAGTTTATTCTCTGAAAATATAACCCCACCTTCAATTAATGTGGTTAAATGTGATGTTTACTGTGTGTGATTACATTATGGAAAATGGAACCCAAAGTGAAAGAAAAATATAGAGATATCATGCAGGTTATCTTGAATATGTCAGATCAGATGGCTCAACATCTTACATTTAACACTTCTCTTCCATTGCGGTTCTTCAATACTATTGTCCCTTTCTTTTTACATTTTTAAGGATCTGTCTGTGTTCGCATATTATGTATGATCTTTACTTTAATGCTCAGTTTTTGGTTGTTCTCAACTAATGCAGTCACTGCCAATCCATCACCAACTTTTCAATACTCAGATCTTATATTACATTTATAATTTTTGTATCCAAATAATAATTTAAATAAGTAACTCCCAAAACCAAAAACAAAACAAAAATCCAAGAAAGGTTTTAGAAGCTGTGAATTCTCACTGACTCTTCTCTGCAAATTTGTAACTAATAAAAACTGAGAAACAATTCTTCTTTTGGATCATTCCAAAACTCATACAAATCCAAGAAAGAAACCAAAAATAAAAATATAATTCTCAAATTTAAAAACTCCATTTCCAGACCTTGACACTGAGATCAGACTTACACTTACTTCTCTTCGAAGTTGCTACGGTCGGAACTTTACCTTTAGGCACTGTCCCTTCGAATGTTCCACACGTCACTTTGATCTCCACTCCTTCACTCTTCACCTTCCCCATCTGCATCTTCACCTTCGTCCTCATCTCCACCTCCAACCCCACGCGCCCCCGCGCCAGATCCGCCTTCAAACGCCGCGCCTCTTCCGGATCCAGCTCACGCGCCGCCGTAGACGTCGCCACCACGCCGCGAAACGTCGTCTTGTTCTTGTTCCCGCTAAAGAAACCCTCCACCGTCCCGTTCGCGAGCGTCTCGCCGGACTTAGCCGAGATCACGGTGACGGCGAAGGGCTCGTAGGAGAAGGTGAGGTGGCTGTTGGGATTCTCGGAGAGGAGAGTGAAGTTGAAGAAGGAAGAGAGGTGAGAGACGGAAGCATCCGAGGAGGAGGTGGTTAGGTTGACGCGGCCGATGCGAAGCGACGGGACGGAGAACGACGGTGGACGAGGGTGGTAGATGACGTAGACGGCGGTGGCGGCGATCGCCGCCATGAGGGCGAGGAGGAGGAAGATGAGTATCGACCAGAAACAGCAGCAGCAGCAGACTCGTTTGCAGCTTGGTCGTGATTGGTGGTGGTGACGGCGGCTGTATGGCTGTGGACGGTAAACCGGACGGTTAGAAGGAATGTAGACTTGGGGTTTTTGGTTAGCTGTGCCGTTACCGTTAACGGGAGCTGGAGGAGGAGGAGGAGGAGGTGCTGATGGGGTTCCGTTAGTGGCGGTTGGTGGCTTGGAAGATGGGAAGACTCGGTCAGTCATTTTCTTCTTCTTTGATTCTTTCTCCTCTAGACAGATCTGAGCAGCAGACAAAGGATATAGAGAGAGAGAGAGAGGGAGAGAGACAACACTTGTGTTTTATGGAATCTTAATAGCTTTAAATGTGATATCATTAGTTATAGAATTCTCTTTTTATTGTTTTTTTGGTTTTCGGTTTTTTTTCTTCTTAGGTTGTTGTGAATGTTCATGACTTCCATGCCAAGTCTGTGAATTCTTTATTGGGGCGGTAAGAAATAATTACTTCCTCCGTTTCATATTAAGTGTCGTTGTAGAGAATTTTTTGCGTTACAAAATAAGTGTCGTTTTCGGTTTTCAATGTAAAATTTATTAGTTTTATTATGTAATTTGTTTTTCTATTGGTTAAAATATGGTTAGGTGTATGGGTAACTGTGCTTTTATATAGGAAATATGTAAAATTAATTGTTTTCTTAATCCGTATGCACAACTGTAGAGTGACACTTATAATAAAACAGAGGGAGTAATAATTTATTATACAAAGTTACTCCAAGTAAAATACAAATAGTTTTTGTTCATACAGAATCCAGTAAATTTTGAAGAATTGTTATGAGATATTTTTTGAGAAAGTAAGATGTCCTCTAAATTTAAATAAGGAATGATGGGCAGAAGAGTAACATTTCGGTGAGTAAAAGTAAACAGAAAGTACTATAAAATAAAATCCACCGACAGGTAGTGGTAGCAGTTCACTTTTTTCTTAGTATAATAGGAGCGCACGCATTTAAATAAGTTTGAATTTAAGTCAGTGCAGGTTTATAAAAAGAGAGTGAAATTAAATGAGTGCCGATATTGGATTAATGGATTAGGGATCCGAAAGTTGATATGATTAGAATAAGCCATTTTGTTCAGAGAGAGTAAATCCCAAGTCAGTAAGTACTACACTGCCTCATCGGTAATGCTGCTATGATTTCAATGATGTTAATCCTTTATTTTCAAGTTCTCGATTGCCAAGATTAGTATACTAACTTCGATTCAGTTACCTTTTAACTATAGTTAATTTGTCCATCCATTATCTCACCCTTTACAAATTATCATCCATTGAATGGCCTTTAGGACAAACATAAGACAGTTTTTTTTTGGCATAGTAAGATATAAAAGTATGGGCCTCATATGTAAGTTTTTCTTCTAAATAACAATGGCCTTTGTACACTTGTTGTTCTAGCCTCTTGGATAAGGAAAAACTTTAGTGCCTACCATATCATTAACCTCTATCTAATGTGAGTCTTAGATATGTAGTATTGTTTCATCTTCACTTAGAAGGTATATAACTCATAGATCTTATCTATACTATTATTTAAAAAGTAAATTTGTTTAGTTGTCAACTTCTCATTGATTTTAGGTAAATTTGTTTATTTACTTTATTTAAATAATTTCATATATGTTATCTTAAAAATGTTAATTATTTTGTATTAAATTGTTGTCTTAAAAATATATTTTTCTATTATAAAATTCAAGTGAATTTACTGATTGATTTGTAAGTTCTCCATGATTTTTGTAATTTTGCTTATTTGTTATATTTTTAATAATTTATCATATAATAAAAACATTTCTATTAGTAATATTATACTTTTAGAAAATAATATAATTCTTATGTATTATATTTTTATCCTTAAAAATATATTTTTTATCACAGAAAATAAAAATTAAGTTAAAATATTAATAGTTTGATATAAAGAAAGCAATCCTGATTTATCAACTTCTCCATGGTTTTATATTTTGCTTATTTATCATATTTTAATAATTTCATATATAATTTATTAAATTCTAAAACGAATGTATACTAATAATACTAAATTTTAAAAAATAAGATAATTTTTATATATTAGATTGTTATCTTGAACATATATTTTATATTAGAAAATTTAAGTAAATTATCTGATTTGTAATTTCTACATGATTTAGATCATTTTGATTATTTGTCATATTTTTAATAGTTTCATATAAAGTTTATTATAAAAAAAAGAATTTCTATTAAAATTAAATTTTGAGAAAATAAGATACTTCTTATGTATTATATTGTTATCTTGAAAATATATTTTTTATTATAGAAATAAAAAATTAAGATAGAAAAAATTAAAATTAAAATAAAAATAAAACATAAATCACAACTTATTATATTGGTTTGGATTAATAAAATATAGACTAATAATAAATTGTACCAAAATTATTCCCGCATATGCGGGCAAAACACCTAATATAAAGATATAAATAATCAAACAAAACTCATATAGAAAATATCTAATGACTAGAAAATGCAACTTCTAGTTATGGGAGGAAGGAAAAGTTAATAAACATAAAGAGACAGGCCTTGATTAAATGTTTAGGTTAACTGAACTTCCCGTACTAACCAACCATGCTTTCCGGTTCTTATGTTTTCCAGGTGCATCCATGTGTAGCTACCGGGAACAAGAACTCAAAGTTTAATTTAGCAAAAAAAAAAGAAAAAAAAATCAAAGTTTGGTATAAGGAACGAGAAGCTTCAATGGTTTCTAGACGAGGTGAAGGCACATCCTAATGACCTGAAACTTGTTGGATCTCATTGCCATCCTCAACCATTACAAAAATAGCTCCGATTATAATACTTTATCGGTATGTATTTTGCTTTAAGCTGTGTTTTTTTATGTAATTGGATGAATATGCATTGCTCTTTGTTTTTTTCCAGGTGGATATCTTCGAAGAATGCTGCGGTTCTCATGGTGGAATACATTGATGAAATGCGGCGTCAAAGCTTAGGAGTTAGTTACGTGAACATTGGTGATGGTTTAGGGATTTGATTATTACCATGATGATGTTGTCCTTCCTACACCGATGGGACTCATCAACACTGTAATAACAACATCTCAAAAGCCTGAAATTGGTAGAAGCTTTAAAATCCTTGATGTGTTCTAGCTAAGAGAGGTTGTTCTGTCACGAAACCTGAACCTAATAATCGAGCCAGAGAGGTCTTTGATTCCAAACACATGCTGTTTCGTCAACCATGTAACAGGTGTGTAGAGTCAAGACTAACCGAACTAAAAATTCATAGTGATCGATGAAAGTATGGGTAAGCTAATCTGTCCCAGTCTTTATGATGCTTATGAACAGGTAAAACAAATATGTTTGTTACAAACTGTTTTGGCCCCTTGGAGTTATTAACTAAACATCATTTTCTTCTTGTTTCTTATAACACAAAAGCACATTGAGTTGGTCTCTCCTCCAGCACCTAATTCTTTTTGAAAGCTCTCAAGTAATGTAGAATCTGATGAGTTAATTCTATTTGTTACATGGAGTTGATCTACTGGTTCATGATGCCGGTGCATACTGTATGAGCATGGCTTCCACTTACAATCTCAAGATGCATCCTCCGAAATATTGGGTAAAAAATACATATTCTTGTTCTTTTTCTTTTATGGAGAAATCACAGTAGCATTAAAGATCTAAGATAATTGCTATGATGTGAATACTAATCATTTGATGGTTGCTTTTTTTGCTCTGTTTTTTGCAGGGTGAAGATGATGGGTCGATTACTAAGATCAGGCATGCTGAGACATTCGAAGACCATTTGCGTTTCTTGGAAGGTCTATGATTCTATGAACCCTGACAATTTTTTTGCTATTTTAGTTGAATTATTCAATTTTTTTTCATAGATAAAGCTACGACCATGCTTCGAACTCTATTATCTTTCCAGTTTGACTTTTACAATTAAACTAGGATAAGACCCGCGCCTTGCGCGGGATGAAGCTATTATTTCTATTATGTTTTGAAAAATGAAACAATAGTTCGGCTTCATTCGGATTAGAGGTGTTCAATCCGGATATCGGGTTTCGGTTCGGCTCGATTTTTTGGTATTTGGACCATTAAAATATAACTACTACTCTAAATCTATATTTACTTCAGTTTGATTTGGTTTATATACCATCGGTTTTCAGTTTATTCAATTTTATACCAAAAAACATAATTATTTAGTTTGAGATCATATTATATATTATACAAATATATAATATGATCATATTTAGAGTCATATTGTCACAGAGTCATTTATTAAAAAAAATTATATATTTAAATAAAAGAATAAAAAACAAAAAAGGCTTCTATCGTCTAATAAAATGATCAAATCTAGAATTAATATCAAAACACTAAATTTTGAAAATAAAAATAAAAAATAAAACAGAAGCATGAAAGAATTTTTTTTATATTCTTCCATATTTAGTGTTCATCAAACCAATATGTCTTCGATTGAACACAACTCTGCTTGTTTAAAGATAAAAAAAAGTTGTAAAGAATTTCAACTAATTGTTGTCCATCAAATTTATAATCTTTACTTCAATTTAGTTACTGTTAAAAAAGCAAAAGATCAAAACAAGATGTCTCAATTGTAATAAATTGTTAGCTATTTACAAATTATAATTATAGTTCAACTCATGTAACAAATAGATATTCATGCGTCGTTATAAATATATACATATTTACATGTTTCAGTTTAATCGGTTATAAATCAAACCATATTCAAATCCTATGGTTTTTATAAAATCACATTCATTCGGTTTGGATGGTATATACCAAAAATAACCATATTATCAATTGTTAATATCTTTTAAAAATATAAAATTAAAAAAGAACTAAGATATTAAAATCATTGATAATTAAAATTTTCAATGTGAAAAATTGATTAATTTTATAATTTATAAATGTTCTTGAAAATTTATTGAAAACTTTGAAATTAAAATATTTATCTAATCTTATATGGTATTTAGTTTAATCTGTATATATATTTGTTTTATTATTGAATGATACTTTTTACTTATATAGTTTTAAAATCATGTATATCTTTTTATAATAAAATTTTAAACTATTGATCATTAATTTTTAACATAATAATTTTAATAGTTTAGTTATTTATTCTCATTTTTTAAAATTCAAAATATAACCTATACGAAAAAATCTAAAATTTAATTTTATAGCTAATTTGATTGTTTAATTTATTTTAATAATGTAAAATTAAAGAAAAATGATGGAGGATATATAAACTGTTATCAANATAGTTTAGTTATTTATTCTCATTTTTTAAAATTCAAAATATAACCTATACGAAAAAATCTAAAATTTAATTTTATAGCTAATTTGATTGTTTAATTTATTTTAATAATGTAAAATTAAAGAAAAATGATGGAGGATATATAAACTGTTATCAAATATTTATTATTAGAATCATTAAGTGTCATATATATATATTAGTCATTTATGGTAATTCCGTACGTTTTATTTATGGAAAGAAAATAAAATAGTAATTATATCTAGGGGATCAATCATTAAGTGTCATATATATATATATATTAGTCATTTATAGTAATTCCGTAGATTTTATTTATGGAAAGAAAATAATATAAACTCGGTTTGATGTGTGGGATATATATTAATGTAAACTCGGTTACATGCGTTACATGCGTCTGTAATTAGTGTTTCCCCAGCAAATTTCAATTGAACCTAAAGCTGCCACGTCAGTTTAATTGATATGTGATATATGGTGTTTTTAGCATATTCTAACAATGTTTTCTAAAGTGTTTTTAAGTCTTTATCGAGTCTTTTTAGTCCTTTCTAAGTCATTACAGGTATGGAGTTGCTTTGGATGGAAGATGGACCAGTTGGAGAAAAAGAGTGCAATCTGGGAATTTTCACGCGGAACAGTCTGCAAACTGTTCCCGAGTGAGCGGAGCNTTAAGGGAAATACAACATATTTCGGGATTTGCCCTAATTCTCCTATTTTTCTCTCCCAGCCGCCAGCAGCCTCCATATATCTTCTTTTCCTATTTTCTACATTATTCTACGCTACTTTTTACCAGAGAAACAACTCTAGAGCTTTTGGATTATTGTGATTTCAATACTTTGTAATTTTGAGGGAGAAGGATCTCTACAATCTTTGGAGAAGATTTCTAAACCCTCTTACTTATTATTTATTGATTCAGACATGTTTTCTTCATCCCTAATCTCTGTGTTTTCTTTGTTCATGTCTGAGTAGTCAGCTTGCTTAGTCTAGGGTGTTAGGGTGTTAGATCCATGAGCTAAATACAAATAAGGTTCATTATTTGATTGTCTCCATTCATGTTCATACTTATTGCCTGCATTAAACTAGCTAATTAATGCTTGAACCTAGGTTTAATCTAATCATCAAAAGTGTTTTAGATTGCTAGAAATAACTTGAATGGGCAGTTCGTCCCTAACCAGCGAAAGTATATGTTAGGGCGTGATGTGAACTTATCGAATCTGATCTTAATGTTTGCTTTCATGTTTTAGTCCAAACGAGAGTTTAGGTATTAAGGCTGATTGTCAAAAGGGGAGATACCACGAGAGTGGGTCAATCTTTATTTGTCTTTTGAGTTCTAGACTTGTGCTTAATAAAACCTTGAATAGATGTTTGGCTCATGATCGTTTGATACCCAATCATTCACCCTAGGCTAGCATTCTCTTTAATCTGAAACCCAAATCAACTTGTTACTTGCTTGTTTTATTTTCTTTATCTTAAAAACCCCCATATTGTTTTAGCTTAATTCTGATCCTATAAAAATAAAGTGTAAAATTTGGTCTCTGTGGATTCGATCCTCAAGTACTACACTGAACCTCTTATTTGAGAGAGTAGCTTGAAGGTTAATTTGAGCATATCAATATGCTAATTGATTGACAACTAAGCAAGGTTACTTTTTAATTATTATAAATTTGAGGTTACATCTTTCCAAATGTTTCTCAATTAATATATAGGGGATTTAAAGGAGAAAAAATCAAGTTTTGTGTTTCAGAGAAAGAAAAATTGGACTGGATTTATACATTACTTTACAATGATTACTAGGACACATCTGCATCCCGTGTAGTTTGTGTTTGGTAACAAATCTACAGAATCATGACATGAAACAAAGCTACTCAATTCCACAGTAACCCCACCTCATAGAACCAATAAAAATTAAAGATCATCCTATATATTATATATAGAAAGAGGACTAAATAAAAAACCTAACCAACTAAATTTCCAAAATCAGATTTAGTCAAATAAAGAACTTGGTGAATACATGATAGCGGGTAAACCGTTTAACTGCGGAATAACTATAACATTATTTTCTCATGGTTTATACATATAAGTGATTTTCTTCTATATATAGTAAAAAACTACTTCAAAATGAGAAACTATAAACACAAAAAAAAAGAGAGTTTACGTGATATAAAAATCTTATTTAATCAGATTTAAATACTTTGGAGGTTGCAGTAAAAATAGTCAAAGCTATTGTAACCAAGTAGAGGTGGCTTGACGAATAAGAGTGCGCATTTTAATCGAATCCTACTTACTTTCGAAGATGTCGGCGCACGTTAAGCCCCAGTATTTATCCATTTATTTTATCATTCATCCGTGGAAGTATTCATTTCTCTGCTTTCTTATTGGCCGTCCCACAATTATTTTCATTTCCAATTAAAAAAAAAAAAACTAAACGAAACGAAGCTTCATCTCTAGAGAGATAAAACTGGAGGTTTTTAGAGAGAGAAAGCAAGCAAGAAAAGAGAAGAGATCACTCCGTCTCGTTGACGATCGATGTCGAAGATGAAGCATCTCCTCCGCAAGCTCCACATCGGAGGAAGCAGCGGCGGATTCGGAGACCACCACCACCACAGGCTAGACGATTCGTCGACTAGACCTACGATCATCGATCCCAGCCCTATCGCTAGCTCTAGCCCTAGCCCCGCCTCCACTTCCTCCGTCTCTTCTTCCGGATTCGGTAACGCCTCCGCCGCAATGCCGAGATTGGAAACCTTTGAGCCGCCGGCGGGGCGTGACGTCGCGGCGGCGGCGGGGGATGGTGTCGATTTCAGTTTGATGGAGGAGGAGTATCAGGTTCAGTTGGCTATGGCGATCAGCGTTTCTGATCCTGATCCGAGAGAGAATGCGGATACGGCTCAGCTTGATGCTGCTAAGAGGATTAGCCTCGGCGTTTCGGCTCCCGTTACGGATGCAGATTCGGCCGTTGACTTTCTGTCGCTTCGGTATTGGGTAGGCACTGTGGATTTGATTAGTTTAGGGTTTAGAGATCGTTTTTGATTATCATGGAAGTAGGATTTGGGGAATCATGGGGGAGTTTAGGCCATGTTTATTGGAGGTTCTTATGTGGGATTCTTAGTTTCGGTTAAGATACGTTTCTTAGCTTTTAACTAAGAAAATTTAAGAACATGCTCTTAAATAAGAAAATAAGAGGTATAAGAGCCGACTCTCAGCCAAAAAAGTGAAAAAAGTGTCAAATCATAAATTAAAATTTCACGCTAAGAACCCCTCAATAAACATGCTCTTAGGGAATCTGATCATTCAGTTAGTAGGAGTTTAGAGGAATTAAGAGTTTCAGTTGGTTAAGATACGTTTCTTAGCTTTTAACTAAGAAAATCTAAGAACAGACTCTTAAATAAGAGATATAAGAGCCGACTCTTAACCAAAAAGTGAAAAAGAAATGTCAAATCATGAGTTAAGAATTCCAGGCTAAGAATCCCTCAATAAACATGTCCCTAAGGAATTTGATCATTCAGTTATTAGGAGTTTAGAGGATTAAGAGTTTGCTGTAATTGATCACTGTTACTTAGGCTGATTATGTTGATGTTATCTTTTTGCAGGGACATAAGGTTATTAACTATGATCAGAAAGTGAGGGATGGTTTCTACGATGTGTATGGGATTACGTCCAATTCTCTTTCACAAGGGAAGATGCCACTTCTCGTGGATCTTCAAGCGATTTCGATTTCAGATAATGTTGATTACGAGGTTATTTTGGTTAATCGATTGATTGATCCTGAATTGCAAGAGCTGGAGAGGAGGGCATCCGCTTTGTCTTTGGAATGTCCAGAGTTTGCTCGTGGTCAGGTGTCAAGTGATTTAACTCAGAAAATTGCAAATATAGTTGTAGAGCAGATGGGTGGCCGCGTCGAAAATGCTGACGAAGCGTTGAGGAGGTGGATGCATCGAAGCTATGAGCTAAGGAATTCTTTGAGCACTACTGTTATTCCACTTGGACGAGTTAATTTTGGTCTTGCACGTCACAGGGCTTTGCTTTTCAAGGTTTATAACTAGTTAACAACATGTTTTTACTTGTTTCTAGCTTTGGTCGTGGACCTCTCGGTTATTCTATTTTGGGCTTCTAGTGGGATTACTCATTCCATCTATGAGTTATCTTTTTGGTCGTTGCTGGAAGATGTATGGTGATTCTAAATAGTTTCTTCTTCTTGTTTCTAGGTGCTTGCTGATAGGATTAATCTCCCGTGTATGCTGGTAAAAGGCAGCTATTACACTGGAACTGATGATGGGGCTGTGAATTTGATTAAACTAGATGACAAATGGTATTTTTTCATTGTTCTAATCAGCCGTCTTCTGCTCATATTTTAGTTTCCTGATACTGGCCTCAGTTTGTATATGACGGAAGTGACTTTTTTTCAGTCCTAATTCATTCTTCACTTGCAGTGAATACATTATTGATTTAATGGGTGCTCCGGGTGCTCTAATTCCTGCCGAGGTTCCAAGCAGTTTTCTTCCAGTTGCTTGCACCGATACGAGAGTATTTCCTGATGATCTGTTGCAACATTCTTGCCCTGTACTTGACAAAGAAGCTGAAACGCCAGTATTTTCAGTTCTCGAGGAAACAGATTCCAGACCTTCTGGTATGGTGGCAAAATTATTAACTGGAAACCATGAAGAAAACAGTGACAGATTTGCTGTTGAAAAACATCAAACGGAGAGATTTGAGCATGACTTTGGAAAGCTAATGCAAACACAGCAGATATCTGGTGAAAACTTGCCGCCATTTTCTGGGAAACCGACAAGTGCACAGAAAGTAAAAGTTAAGAATGTCTCGAAATATGTCATAAGTGCGGCAAAGAACCCTGAATTCGCGCAGAAATTACATGCTGTCTTGTTAGAAAGTGGTGCATCACCTCCCCCAGATTTGTTTATGGATGTGAATCCACAGAACTTGAGGGAGAAGAGTTTGCTTCAAGAATTTCGGCAAGAAAGTAGTAATTCTGTGAATTCTGCTGTTCCATGCTACCCAGAAAAGGTAATCTTAGGATACACATCCTTTCACTTAATGAGAAAGTTTTTTTTTTTAATTCTTTCCCACCTGCCACTTGATCTATCTTAAGATTTTGAAGTCTTTATTTATTTTCATCCGCACTGAATAGGTCGGAGATCAATCAGCTGAACAATTTAGAGAATCTGAAAGGAGCGTCACAGCACTGCAACAACCAGCTGTTTCCACCTCAGGTAAGGGATAATTAGCTAATTTATGTCGGTAGTATTATATTGTCTTCGCAGTACGGTTAGTGCCTTTCAACTTGACAATGATAACGAATTGGTGAACCTCTCCACAGCTGAGACTTACCAACAACCAAAAGAGGTAGATTTTTTTAAGGAGAGAAACTTTGATGTGGATAATATGGGTAAAGTATCTTCACCGGAAAAGATGGAGATCAGCACTGCTGATGGGGAGCCCTCTGTTTGTGATAGACATGACCAAGGAATTAATCCATTTCTCGGCGAGGCTGCAAAATGGGAAATCATGTGGGAAGATCTTCAGATTGGCGAGCGGATTGGTATAGGTAAGGTTTGGTCTATCAAATAGTAGATTTCCCTAGAAGCCGGCAACTTTATACTAAAGTGTTATACCCGTGAGAAACTTTTGCTGAAGCTTGATACTTAAGAATTGTCATCTAGCCTTATGCTTGGGGACTAGCCCCATAATATTCCGAAATGCAAAATCTTATGTGCCCCCTCTCTGTGTTGTTCTTTTACAGGTTCATATGGAGAAGTTTACCGTGCAGAGTGGAATGGAACTGTGAGTTATGTTTTGGAGTATTAGTTCACTGATTCTTGAAATGATGTTTAGTCTGCGGTTCGCCAATTTCCTTCTATGAAGGAGATTGTTGTCTTTTACATGGATTTCTTAGACTGATTGTGCTTTTTATTTCAGGAAGTGGCTGTTAAGAAGTTTTTGGATCAAGATTTCTCTGGGGATGCATTGACACAGTTCAAATCTGAAGTAACTCCAAATCGTTTATTCATAGACATCTCTAATTGTATAGAATTACTTGCAATCTGTTTAATCATACTATGAATGTTTTTACTTTGTTGTGATAGATTGAAATAATGTTGAGGTTGCGGCATCCAAACGTTGTTCTTTTCATGGGAGCAGTTACTCGGCCTCCAAATTTCTCCATCCTGACAGAGTTCCTACCCAGGTTGATCCTCATGCTCTTCTTTTACAATTCGTGAATTGGTCACTTGGTCTGCTAGTTTGATTTCTTATTCTCTTTTATCCATGAAGTCATCCTTTTTTCTAACCATGATGTTCTCTCTTATTAGTAGTTTTAACATTATTCTTCTTGACTTAATTGATAGACTTTCATAATACTATGCAGGGGGAGTTTGTATAGATTACTCCATCGACCAAATCATCAGCTTGATGAGAAGAGACGAATGCGGATGGCACTTGATGTGGTATGCACGGTTTTCATTGGTTGAAAAGAAGACTCTAGAAGTTACTGCAATCTAGCCGAAATCAGCTGACACTTGTTCTCTATATGATTGTATTGCAGGCAAAGGGTATGAATTATTTGCACACCAGCCACCCAACTGTGGTACATAGGGATTTAAAATCTCCCAACCTTCTTGTTGATAAAAATTGGGTCGTCAAGGTTTGTGACTTTGGATTGTCGCGCATGAAACACCACACTTATTTGTCTTCAAAATCAACTGCAGGAACGGTCAGTTATAACTCAAATAGAACCATTCCGTATTTCTGGTAATAAACATGGTAACTTACTTGATAAAATGTTGTGCTAATGGCTGTGCAGCCCGAGTGGATGGCTCCAGAAGTGTTGAGGAATGAACCAGCTAATGAGAAGTGAGTGAAAATATCAAAGCTATGATGAGGATTTTATATATTTAGTATACAGAAGTATTTGATTTGATGTGCTTGCATGCGCAGATGTGACGTATACAGCTTTGGTGTTATATTGTGGGAACTAGCTACTTCACGCATCCCTTGGAAAGGTTTAAACCCGATGCAAGTCGTTGGAGCTGTGGGATTCCAGAATCGACGCCTTGAAATCCCAGATGATATTGATCCAACCGTTGCACAGATAATCCGTGACTGTTGGCAAATGTAAGTCCACTTCCTTAATTACTCCAAATAAAAAAATCCTTAAAATCTAGCTTTATGCAAGTATGAATCCATATTCCCAAGATAAACACTCTGAACCTTAAGTTCAGCGAGCATGGATTCGTGAGTCGGTGTCTGTCTGGGATTAAGTAGAATTACTCTTTGATGAAGCATTTGGATGGGGACTAAGTTAAGATGTGAGATTATTTATCTTTGTATAGGGAACCGCATTTACGGCCATCGTTTACACAACTGATGCGAAGTCTGAAGCGGCTACAGGGTCTAAATATAAGCAACAGAGGGAGCACAAGTGAAAGCTTGATGTAAAGATACATTTTAGACAGAAGCTGATGCCATCACCTTGGTTCAAAGAGCCAATTGGTGAGGGATTACGTTTTTTCTTCTTTTGCTTTTTTCTTTTGTTGGTTTTACGGTCGGATGATGAGAGGAGAGGAAAGAAAGATTGTCGGGTTAGGGAAAAGCTTGTGGAGTTCAATCGAAGTGGGAGCTCAACAACACAAAAACAAAAAAAAGCCCTATTAAACCCCCCTCTTTGTAACTATTACTGTTATTATTGTTGCTACTTGTAACGAAAAAATTAGGTGAATGGACAGAAGAAAAAGAAAAGATGATGAAAAGAATACAATAAGCCTATGGATTACTGATTTCTTTTGGTTTGAGATTTGCCCCAAAATCTGGTAAATGTAAAAACATGTGGGGATTAATGTTGTAAGAGCTTTATATAAGCTAAGCTAATGATCATACAAATCAATGAACTTTGGTTTTTGACCATGTTCATATCTATCATATTCCGTACTGCGTATGTTGTATAAGATCTATTGAATGCTTTTGTGTGCTTTTTTACCAGACTGTCAAACACACTAGTTATTCTCCGATTATCGTTAGTTTCTCATATTTTATCTTAATACAGACAGTTTCTCATAGTTTGTGATGCATAATTAATCAGTATTAAAAAAAAAACAGTTTCTAATAGTACCTATATACATTCTTGTACATTTTGAGATATCCTCAATGTTATATGGTTTCTTTAATTGTATCTTATTTTTTGAAACTATATTAGACTATAGTTGTATCTTGATTGTGTTACAAAAAAAATAGTATCTTGATAAAACAAAAACTCATGTCAGGTGCCAAATTATTTTTCATAATTCCAATTTATGAAGCTAAGAATATATATATATATATATATATACACACACAATTAGCAATGCATCAGGAAGGAATGTGTGTGTCAATCTGATAAGTAACAAATTTATAAAGTCAATACTGTTATATTAGAATTATAACAGACACAATAAATTTAGCTTATAGCACACGATTACGCGATTTCTATTATTGTCCCAACCGTTCCAATAAAATCTAGCTTTTTGTTTCATTTCTAATATTGAACATCCGTGAGAATCTGTACACAAGTGACGGCTGAAAAAAAAATGAAAACCCTAATAGTATGGTGCCTTGTATCCCAGGTAATCATTCTAGCGGGAAACTCAGCCGAGAAAGGAGACGTTGATTTCTCCATAGTCATAAAAAACGAAATGTACAACTTCAAAAAACCGGCGGTTTTTTACCATTGCCGATCCTCAAAGAAAGATCTCGGATGGCACACATCGCATCCATCGTCCGAGTTTCGTTGGACCTTCGAAGTTCCTCAGTTTGGTAACGGCGTGATGATCCACAACTGTGAGTTCAGGTCGAGGCTAGGAACAGCGAAAATTGAGATCGAGACGTTGTCTACTACGGCTATTCTTTGTGACGGGCATACATGCAAATACGTGATTAGACGTAATGGGATTTATTTCGTTGGTTATGAGTTGTATTATCCACTTGGAGGTTTTGTTGAGCTGTCTAGGCCTGTTGTGAAGCTGATTGAGCCCTGGACGCCTTGGTCACCGCATCAATTGAAAGCCTTGGGCATTAGTAAGCAGCACCTTTCTTGATTCGGATCCTTGGAGGACCACCAGACCATTCTTGATTCATAAATAATAATTCATTTGTAAGTGGTATAAATGAATTCAATATACCCAGTTCGGTTTTGGATAAAAGAAATATAAAGGAATTTCTATTGAATTTTTTGCTATATACACTTTTTGAAAAAATCAGTTTAACATAATCAATTTACCATGTTTGGTTAGGTTCGGCCAGTACCGTTCATGAGATTTTGGAAACTATAAATAATTTATAAAAAAAAATTAACTGATTTATAGTTTCCAAAAAAAAAAAATTAACTTTCCAGACCAAAACCATCATATAATAATGTACATTTTTTTCAACTTCGACATAATTGCACACAGTTTAAGTATAATACTCCCTCTGTTTCATTATAAGTGTCACTCTACAGCTGTGCACACGGATTAAGGAAACAATTAATTTTACATATTTACTATACACCTAACCATATTTTAACCAATTGAAAAACTAATTACATAATAAAATTAATAAATTTTGCGTTGAAAACCAAAAACGACACTTATTTTGTAACGAAAAAAATTCTCTACAACGACACTTAATATGAAACGGAGGGAGTAACATATTTTCATACACGATAAAAGTTCGAAACCCGTTACATAAACTTTGAAGGATGAACTAAGAACAACAAATAGCAGTTTAAAGTAAGTTATATAATGTTATCTATTTCAAAACTTAACCAATGACTAATCTAACTAAACCCAAAACGAATTGATGATGACCAGATTAGAGAATATAAACCATGTGAAGTAAAAGAAGAAAAGGTCGCCGACTGATTAAATCTACCTAATACAATTGGATCTAATAAACCGACCAAGATCCGAATTAAGCCAATTAGAAACCCTAAAAATCTAAATTCCCAAATCATCTTCCTCTGTCTCTCTCACGCGAAAACAACGTAGCTCCTCCGGGTCTTGCTCCTCCGCTTGGCTTCAACCAGGTAATTTCGACATCTCTCTCTCCCTTCATTCAAATTTCCTGATTCATTATTCATATTTTCAGGATTTTTTCACTTTGGGAAACGAAATCTCTTCTCTGGATTTTAATATTTTAGGGTTCTAAGAGATGAAATCGATTTGGAGGCTTTTAAAAGGGTTCCAGGTCGGGTTTAAATCAAACCCTAGTTTGATCTTTGTTTCGGTCATGTTTTTCCAATATAAACTGATACGAACTGGTTTATTATCGGTTAATGTTATAAACCATTAAAACCAATCCAAATCTCGGTCTGTGTGGAAATGAATTTTGAACTTTTATCATGTACAGAAATAGGTTGTTATACTTAAAGTGTGTGTAATTACGCCGAGATTGAAAGATTGTATGTATTTGTTACTATATGATAGTTCTAGTGTGGAAATAAGTCGCATTTCCAAAATAATTCTAAACAATTTTGGGACCTATATTAATGCATGTTATCTCTTAAAACAAATTGGGGTTCATAGGCTAATGTATCACTTATATTTAGAAACGGTTTAGAACCCGCTAGGCTCAGTTGCATTGTAGAAATTAAAAATGTGGGAGAGATAACTCTTAACGGTGTACTTTCCATTCAAATCAATTTCATCCTCACATGTTAGTAGGTCTGTGCAGTTTACCTGGACTCGGAAATCCATATATGAATTGACTGAAAATACCTGATGTGAAACCAAACCGAAAATTTATAAATACTTAGTTGGATTCGAATACTTTACTCATAAAATCTGAACCGAGAAAAACGATTCGGCTTGAGCAAGACCGGCTCAATAAAAATCGATTCATATACAACTTAAATATGAATATTCAAGACCATGTCTCTATGTATTTGTTTTCTATATATTAATTCATGATTTAGTATTAATGTCTTTTTGTTAGTAATTTTCATTATTATTTTTATAACATTTTCAAGTAATATGAAATTTAGATGTCAAAATTAGAGTTTAAAAATATTTAATACTAATTATTAATAGTTTATTTTTGGTTATTTTCAAGTTTTAGATAAGTATTACTAATTTTGACTAAATTTGTTGAAATACAAATGTTTGGGGTCTTTTTCGAGTTCCCTAAATTTTATTCAGACTTGTTTATGTATCCAAAAATTACATGTATTTTATAGAAATTTTAATTATAGATATGAACGATCTATAACCAAAAGAATTCATCCAAACCCAAACTGAAAATTTCCAATTATCTTTTGGGTAAAAATGTCTAGAATTTGAAAGCCTAGATCCAAAAAAAACCAACATGAACCTAATATGAACTTGATTTGAAGATTCAAATGCTCATGCCTACGTGTTAGCGCCAGGACTACGAAACCTAACTCAATTCTAAAAATGAAAAACTATATGGTTTCATTTTTTCACTTCCAAATATTTTATCCTAAAAACAAAAAGAAAATCATCTCCTTGAAAATTGTTTATCAATTACATATATTTTGTGAAAAACTTTCAACAACCAAAAGAAACGAAGCAAACTTCAATCAAAAGCTGGATTTAACACCCATGGCAACATACATTCTTACAGAAAATTAAATCTTACCAGAAGTTTGTTTTTTCGTTAGGTTTCTTACAAAACCAAACATACGAAAAAATGGAAAAGAACGCTCATCAACAGAAATAAACGTCTTAAACCACTCACATTTGTTGTGTGTTTCTGTTGTTAAACAACCACTTTCGTTTATATATGTTCCAAACACATTGTTCAAAAATAATAAAATACAACTGTACGTTCAAGAGAGCTATGGGGTTGGGGTTCAGGAGATCAAGATCCAGATTATCCACCGCATTCACGTGGTGCATTCTCATAGCATCAGCCTGTGTTCCAACCACCACATCAGCAGCCCGGTTTGAGGTAAGAAATGAGATCACCAAATACCCAGGACGAAACAGACACCTCACGATTCAATGTTGGTCATCTACCAACGATCTAGGCTACCATCCTATCAACCCAGGAGAATCCAAAAGCTGGTCGTTCAAGCCAGTATACATCAAGATACCGTTCATCTACACGTACTTTCAGTGCAAGTTCTACACCGCTTTTGGCTCGCCTGATGGTCAGACCGTAACTGTTTTTGCTGGTGAGAGAAAATTCAGGTGGCAATGCGATAATCTGGAGGAAGAGTGCATTTGGGTGGTGAAGAGAAAAGGGTTATATCTAAGGAAGATCACAAGAGACGATAAAGGCCAAAGGCTTTATGAAGACGAATTGAGACAGTCTTGGATTGGTGGTACTAACTACTTCCCGGTTCATGAATAATAACATTCCTATATACATAGCAAATATCTTTTATTTTTATTTTTATTTTTTATTTATTTTTATTTTATTTTTATTTTTATTGTTCCCTTTTATGTATACTTAGCAAATTTGAGATCAATACCAGAAATGTTTTTTTTTTTTTTGCTCAAGCTCCATATTCTGGGGCCTTCCAAAGTTTGCAAGTTTAACAAGGTTTACAGAGAGTTGCAATGGAAAATACAAAAATTGGTCTTTGGAGACGGGAAACAACAATCAATGGCGTCATGATTTGCGACGAGGGAGTAGAGGTGAAGAACTTAACCTCTTTGCTTGCTTAAAGTTTTCTCTTTATAGCATAGACCATAAAAAGACTGAAGCACAGTAAAAAGGTTTTTGATTTGAATAAAAAAAATACAATAAACATGCTCTAACATTTAGTTTTCTGGTATATGGTATGTGTATGTGAAATATTTATGTTTGCTTCCTGGAACCCACTAACCTCTGCCCTTCTCACCAATTGTTTCACTTGTAATTAGTATCGGTTTTCTGTCCCTTCACTGTAATCTGTAATGAAAATATTTAATCAGTATTCATATCTCTAAATTTTTTATTCAAAGTTCATTAATGGTCTACACCATGAGGTTTAAGTTTGAGTCTAAGAAAAAACGATTTACTAAACAGTTATATCAATTAACAAAATAAAAACTTATAAGAGATCTTTAATATAGTACAAGTAAATTCATCAGACATAAATCTTTATAGAGCGGTTATAGAGTCGTTTATATTATTTTTTCATAATTTTAAATAGCATACTAAATCAATGTTTAAAAAGAAAACTTAAGACTTGCTTAATCTCTCTGAATAGCGAGCTTCAAAGATTTTTCCCTTTTTCGTGCACATCAGTGATAAACCTAAACTCGTATATATCGACCAGAACATAGTTGATCGTGAGAGATGAAAAAAAACTATATTATAACATGTAAGCACAATAAGCAAACACAAAAATCAACCGAAGCATGAAAAGCAACACCGTTACCGAAAATTCAACCGGATGTACATAAAGAACAAAAACAGCTACTCACTCACTGAAGACAGCTACCATAAAGAACTCAAAAACATAAACATATGTATTCTCTCTACCATATATCAATCCTTTCCCTTATTCCTCTTTTAACTCTCCTTCTCCCTCTATATATATATAAATGATCAATATCTGTCTATATCTACAGCTTTAAGCATAACACAAGAGCAGCTCAAACTCCAAAACAATAGTGGCGATTTTATGAGGCGTATGTATGTATCATCATGTATATGTTGTAATAATCTGTGTAGAATAAGGCAGCATCATAGGGAGAGTCTTGTCTTGATGGGCTTGAGCTTCAAACCCATGTTTTCAGGGGAGAGAAGCTCAGGGGAGATTCTAGTTGGACTCAAAGGACTTCTTGGACTCACGTCCTGTGTAGGACGATACAAACCATATCCCATCAAAAAGTATTCCAATGGTATTACCATCGCCTCAGGTTGTTCTTCAGTCACCAGTGACCCACTTCCTTGTACCTATTTTATTATATAGAGTTATGATTTAGAGCCAAACCGGTAACATAGAAACTAGACATTGTATTATTGATGTTATTATATTGTACCTCGACTAATGCGCCGTATCGTCTATCTAGTTTGGTTGTCATGTGAACTGCCTCGGAGTGGTAAGCAGAACTTTCACCAATGAATATCAAAGTTCTGCATTGCAGTTTCCTTAACCCTTCGCTAAGATCCACTCTCCTATATTCACACCAAACCATAATATAAGAAAAGACTCTTAAGTCGAAATGAAAACAAAAGAGAGCAAAAGATAAATACCCGTTGATTGCCTCAAGGAATCTCCATACATTACTACTCTGCCGCTCGCAAAGTAACTGTATAGTAGAGAACACAACATATTAATTTTACTTCCAAGAATTGCCAAAAAAGAAAAGGGAGAAAAAAGGTATTCACTAACTCTTCTGCATTCTTGAACAATATCTGATTCTGGAACTTGAGCATTACCACGAACTTCCTATCATAATAATATGTCAGACAACTTTTAAACCAAAACCATATTTGTTAAAATGGTAATTAAGTAATACTTGAGAGAATTGAGACTATACCTTGCTGAAGTACCGTTTTAGTAATAATTCCTTAACCACTCCGCACATGCCATAGTAGTAAAGTAAATTAGACATAACCTGCGTAAATTATGGAAATGTCTGGTATGAGGATTTGACAATCAATGTTATAACCACAAGTGAGTACCAACAAAGATATCACTGTGAGAAGAAAAATAACCTTATTGCACAACCATTCTGACCAAGAAGGCGCTTGGCACAGTGGAGAGACCAGTATTAATCCCAGAACTCTCTGCTTGTACTTCATCTGGTAAAATTTAAGTTTCATGTAAAGTTAGCATGATATCAAAAAGAATGAATGTGTAAGAGAGGTACTGTTACTATAGGTCTATTAGGGATATATATCCCACATCGGGAATTTAATGGGACTTTAAGTAATATATAAAGGGTTAGGGCCAATCCACTTATTACCAATTGATTTTAAGTTGGAAGCTCATAATAACCCGATTCTAACATGGTATCAGAGCCCAGATCCTAAAAGCCCTAAACTCCTAATTAATTAATTACCCTTCCGACCGGGTATATAGGTCGTGTTTAACCTTTCGGCTAGGTATAATTGTCGTATTTGACTCGCTCGACCGAGTATAACTGTCTTAAAGTTCCGAGATTTCTGGCCGATAAGAGCCATCATCTCGAGGAGGGGTATTAGGGATATATATCCCACATCGGGAATTTAATGGGACTTTAAGTAATATATAAAGGGTTAGGGCCAATCCACTTATTACCAATTGATTTTAAGTTGGAAGCTCATAATAACCCGATTCTAACAAGGTCAAAAATACTTACAGCAAATAAGGTCAGAATGTAAGCTCCTGCTGTGACACCCATGCACATGACTGCACCAAGTCTGGATAAGAACCAATAAGAAATAAAGTAAAAAGAATTTAGAAAAAAAAAAGCAAACAAGAAAACGATATAAAAACAATATAGGCAGCTTAATGAAACAATGATGAGATTTAAAACTTAAGGTGAAATGAAATTTTACCCAAAATAGTTAAGAACCTCGACAATCTGATCTGCTAAGTCATCAGCTGAGAGCAAAGGAGCATCAACACTGATCACTGGAGCTCCCAACTGCAATAACTCTTAAAGAAATCGATCTAATAAGGAACATGAATTGCATTATAAAAGGAAATAGCATAGCAGTTAAAACAGTAAAATAGCAGAAACACAAAAAAAAAAAGTTTGTAAAAAAAATGAGACTTGAGTTACCAACCTCATGGCCTAGAGGACTGATGTGATAAATGCAAAAATTGTGGAGTAGCAAGGAACTAGCTTCTGGACAAAACAATAATCCTTGAAAACAGAACATATCTGCAACAAGACAAACGGTAACATTTTACAAACAAGCACCAATTCAAAAGTTTCATTTTCTAATCCATGCATTACTGAACTGGTGAAGTTATCGCTTATTTGATAAGTAAAGCTGAAGAAGTAGAAGGCTTACGATTAAGAGCTAGATCAGGATATGTGATAAGAGCAGGTTTATCTGGATCTCCACAAACGGCAACACATACGGGGCCATAGGTAGTCTCCACAAGATGTTCCTATCATCCCAAATAAATAAAAAAGTACGAAATAAATGAACAAGTTAGAACATGCATAGATGAGGAGTGAGGACCACAGTTATAACGTTCATTTCCCTTGTGAGTAAGATTACTGGATTAGGAACCAAAATTTATAAAAAGTAGCAAATTTCCTATTTAAGTTATATACTCATAACCAGCAAAAGACAGATTGGTCAAACAAAAGGGATCATTAAAATCTGAACTACCCATAGACGAACAAAAACTTTATTATGGAATTTCGTAATAGTAACTAATAACTAACCAAAAAAAAACTTAGAAACAATGAGGAAACGAATGTGGAAAATGATCCAAGAAGAGTTGTATTATTATACTTAGAATCTCCTATTAGAAAACAAGAAGCATATCAACAAATTCACTCACACGTTCCAAAATGAAGGTGTCTATGAATCGAGGAAAACATGAATATATTAAGAAAAAGAATACAACGTAGAAATAATTTTTAAAAACAAATCAAACGGAAAGGAGAAAACGTGGAATCAGAATATCGAGACAACACGTTTCGTAATTTTGGATATTATTACCGAAGACAAAAGCATCACTGGTCATTCCAGTTTCAGCTCCAAACATAGTAATGAAGCAACAAAACAAAAAAATCCCAGCATTCTTTTATTACAAAACGGTCCAAGAAATTGCTAAAAACCACTTTCATAATCTAAACTACAGCAGAATAACTAAAAATAAAATCCAAATAAATAATATTAAATATTTTTTATAGGAATAAAGCAGCAGCTCGAAGAATGCAGAAACCAATTAAAGTAGTAGTATTAAAACATAATACAATAAGCTCTTTTAAAACATACACAGAAACTCGTAAGATAGTTTACCTGTCCACCAAGAGACATTGCCTCCATATCAATGGAGACAGAACCACTTGAATCTCCCATCTCTCTCTCTTCTCTGTATATATTTCAATATAAGCAGAGAGATTTATTTATCTTTCCATGGCGTTCTCTCTATTCTCTCTGACAAAACTATTGGTATCTTTGTTTTTTTCTGTTTATAAAAATAGAAAGAAGGCTTGTGACTTTAGAAAAATATATATAGGGAAACTGGTTACTGAGTCACCGACGGTCGAACTCGGGTTTAAATGTAGGACCTGCAAAACCATAATCACAGGGACTAACTATATACCATGATCAACTTAACCCTTGGTTAAGGTACCGACAGCTTTTTTTCATTCTTTTTTTTCTCTAAACTTTATATTCTCACCCCCTCTATTTTCTTATATCATTCAAAATTGGTACCATGATATCTATAATCTTGTGTATAAACCCAAAACGTGTCGGCACCCTCATTTTCCACTATTTTTACTTTTCTGTTTTCCATTTATAGAAAATAGAATTGAAAAACGCTATTTCCTTTTTGATTTTCTTCTATTTTATATCAATCTCTATTGAAATAATATTAAAATAAATTATAAATAAAAAGAAATTAAAACATAACTCATTCTCTCCCTTTGAATCAGAACCCCATGAAATATATTGTTGGTATAAAAGTAATGAGTGGTAATGATACATATTTGATACTTAAAATTAAATTAAATTGTTCTTAGACATTTGATACTTATATATGAATATTGATTCATATTTGTAATCTATTGCATTCCAAAAAAATAGTGAATTGCACACTTTTCATTAGAGATTAGTGTGAACTTTTTTATAACTCTGGAATATCTGGATACTAGTATAATAGAGGGTTATTAGGACACTAGTGATACATAAAATAGTAAAGGGGCCAAAATAAAGAATCATGTTTAATGTTGACTTTATGAGACAGGATGATGAATCTTCAGCCGTTGGATTTTAACTTTTTTTTGTCGTCTTTCCTTTTATGCTTAGTCTTCTCCCCTCTTCAAACATGAACACCGTGTGGTTTTCCATTGCGATAAACAGGGCCCATTGCATTGGAGGGTGAGAACACATATGTCGTTCTCTTGTCGAGTTGGTATGTGTCATTGGCACCCAACAAGAGCGTAAAACCGTAAGTCCCTTTTGCTTAATTATAAATCCGTCCAAAACTTTGAATTTCCCTTCTTTTTATTTTTAAAATTTCCATTTATTATATGCTCCATATTTGAGCATCATAATTAAGTTGATAAAATAACATGAACAAACAAAGACATTATTGATATCAGCTTCTTAACATGTAATATAGTTTCTTTTCTACAACAGAAGAAGCAGTATCTCTTTAACTTTTTGTTAAAGTTTCTCTTAAACTAGCTTCATGTTGACTGATTGATCACTGATTGATTTATTTACTTTTAGGGAACGTAGGATTATGAACTGAGTAAAATATTAGGCAGTCAATCTGTATTAATAAATAGTAACATTCTAATCTATTTTAACTGTGGTAGTTAAAGTCCATTGATATATCATGTATCAAATTCGATGGCTGTATTAAGTGATGACAAGATCGATAGAATATTGTCAACCATATCGTGTTGTATGCTTGTGACATTTTATATCTTCATATGTTTTCACATTAATTGTATGTTTGATTGCAATGCACCGACTTAGTCGCATTTGAAAGTTTGTTTAATTTAATATCTAGATATCAATATGGAGATGAATCCAAAAGAAACAGCTCAATTGACACCAAATAAACGTACCTACATAGCACAGTATCCTTTGTTGAGTAACAATTACGTACATATTAGTACCATAATACCATTACATTCTTGGCGTCTTGTCACCAGCTTTTGTATTTTATATAGTTATTTTTTATCTTATGTCTTTCATGGAATTTTTCTAATGATTAACCCACCAACCACGTTTATTAATCTTTACATTTAGGATACCCTTCAATCAAATGATATAATGACCCCCACCCCCTAGAAGAGGTGGAAATCATGTATTTCAGACTTTTCAGTACATGTTCAACTTTTACTACTATAAGACTTTAATCTGACTACCAATTTAACATTCTCAGCTGAGCATTTTGTGTCATTGAAATAATGATGAACTTTTGACCCCAAAAAATGAAATAATGATGAACTAACAAATCTAGTATATTCATCTCGATCTATCTATCATTCACACTATCGTTACCGATTACAAAACTATATTTTTCTAGAAAAAATATCTTTCTAAAAAAAAATGTCGTTCTAAAAAGCCAGGCAGTTTCCTTGCTGTGACATAAGTTTTGAGATCAACTTTTTATTTAAAACAGAGGGAGACTTCTGATTTCATTTAAGACCATACTTATTTTAGTGAAACCATGCAGTGGTTGTTTGATGAAGTGTTTCCCTAATTTATGATTAAATGAGTGCACGTGTGACGCAATTACTGATCTTTAAAGCTTAGCTTAAGATTTGGTTAATATAAATAATAAATGATCTTGTTGCTCTCTCCATCTCGTCACCATCACTCATCAATCTAATACTATACGGATCTTGTGATTATATAGAGATGCATAGAGGGCCGGCCCTCAGAAACATGGGTCTAAGGCGGTTTTTAAACGGTTTCACCTAAAAAATTTTCTTTTTACATATTTGGGGGTCTAAAAAAACTTTTGGGAAGTTTATGTACATGTATTTTTTTTCAAAAAAATTGGGGGCCCAAAACGAATGTTTCATCCGGTTTGACCCATGACCGGTCCTGGATGCATATGCCTACATTCACGAATCTTCTGCCGACAATAGTTTATGTAGTAAATAGTAGTATATAGATACGTCCACATGCAGAAAGAAGCATACTGTTATGTAGTGAAATTGTCTAATCAAATATGTGTAAAGCAATATAAACAAGTACTATTCATTTAAAAGTTACATTTATTTTTTACATTATCTAGTGACATTTCTTTGCTTTTAATCCAATTAATTACATCATGGCTATTGGCTTACGTTACATTGAAGTTGTTGCGAAGATTAACTACGTGTCCAGTTGTACAACTTCCACCATTTCTTCAAGTTTAATGAGAATGAAATCTAAAACATTCCAACAACAATACAATAAGAGAACATTCCTGTGGTAGTTTACTCTCTCTTTTTTTTTATGATCGTCGACGAGTATGAGTTACTCTTGTCTGTAAATAGTGTCGTTCGTACGAATAAATATCAAGAGAAACCAATTTGGTCGTCTCATGAGTCATGAATCACCATCGTACGTATACTTTTCACAACTAATGCCACAAAAGAGTAAAGCCCTTTGTCAAAAAAAAAAAAACTAAGCCTAGTGATTAAGGTTTTCATCAACTAAAGCCACAAAAGAGCTGTGAAAGTAATGTAGCCTAGTGATTAAGATTTAAAGGCTTCTACATCAGGTATGAAGTTCGAATCATATGCTATGCAGTTTCTACACTAAAAATGTTTAAATTCTCAGAAAAAATGAATGACAAATTATGCAGATTAGAGAAAATACTTATAAGAGATCTTCAACATGGCGCAAGTTGTACGGTCAGAAATACTTATAAGAGTTCTTCAGCATGGCGCAAGATGTACGGTCAGAAATAAATTTTATAAGGTGGTTCATGGTGATGCAGTCAGACATGAATCTGCATAATGTCAGGTATAATTATCAGCTATAATATCTATTATTATAAAGGATAGTTGCTTCCCTATAGCTCATCCACGTCACTAAATAGTTTCATCACAGCATGCCACCTGTAATTGTTAAAACGTTGCGTTTCCAACTCAACACACGATATGGTCTTATTTTTTTTCTTAGCCCATTTAATTTCACTCCTGGCCCAAGCGTGTAGTGTCGTCGTTCATCTCCTCTACCAGGAACTTTAGGGTTTTCTCTGAAACTCGAGCTTTGCTGGCGGGTCTCTTCTCTGTGTGATTTCCGTAAGACGATTCAGATTCGTAGGGGAGAGCGTTCACCAAAAAACGTCTTAAAGCATTGATAATTGCATTTAGTCCTCTAACACGATATCTAATCACTCTCTTCTCAACTCCTGCTAGACGGTGGAATCGTGGGTATACATAGGTTGGCTTCCTTCCCCTGATAATCATTCACAAAACCTTTCTCAACATACTAAATCTGTCTGTAATGGCTTCCTCTAGAGTTTTTTATCCGATTTGAAGTCCTGCCGATGCTCTTCAATGTAAGTTATCTGATCTTTACTTTTCCATCGGTAAGCTAATTGAATTAATACAGATATGTGCATAGAAGATATAATTATGATTTAACGACGTCACATCCGTTTAGATGTAGCCAGAGACACTGGACTTTCACCGGCTGCACCCTTACTGAAAGGCTATGCAAAGGTCAAGCCACTCACCATAGCTGAGCTCAGTAGTTTCATCATCAATGCTCCTTCCCAGGTATAACCATTCACTGGAATTTCTCTTGATATCACGGTGCTATGACAGCCACAGTAGCTGTGCTCAATGCTGACCTCTTAACTAACATGTAGGATATTGATTTCATGTGCACAGTCTCGCGTTGACCCAAGTGCACAACAAAACTACAGCGCATTGTTAACTCTTTCGTATGTCAGCGTTGTGACAATAACCAATCCTTTCATTAGTTTTCGTACATACTATAGCTTTACATAGACCAACCAACAGTATGCTTCTTATGTATGTTTATTTTGATGTAGTTTACCGAGTTGAGAAGTCCATTGCTGATGATACTGCAGAAGGTGTGTTCGTCTGTTTTGATGATGTGATGACGAGGTTACATAATCTGAAAGCGAGTGAAGCTGGTCAGATGCTGGTAAGAAACGAATTTAGTTAACTACAATCTTTAACTTATGCCTACTCCTGAAAACTCTATATTGTGTTATCCCTGAATAAATAGGCTGGTACGGTGTGAATCCTGAAGACACACAGCTTTCTCCGTTTATTGCAGATATTGGAAGGGAAGGAATACACTTTCTGAGTTAGAGTCAGTGCGTATAACTCCTAGAAGTCGCGCCTCGCCTAGATCCGGAACAACATGATCTACGGCCGCATTAGTTTTTCTTTTAGTAGTGCTTATAATCGTTTTCCCTTGCTTATTTTGAATTTCCTTTATCAATAATGGTTTCCTGATACCCCATTATATAGTATGTTTTTGCTCGGAGACACTCTCTACAATAATATTTATGAAATTTCCTTTAACCAAAATGTTTTCCTGCTTCCCCGTTAAGTACACTCTCTATAGTATTTATATAATAATTGGTTGATCTTAACATGTGTGTGCAAAATGATATAATCTGTCTTGGTGTGACCCGAGATTGCAAAATGATATAATCTGTCTTGGTGTGTCTTGCTTCGTTTTCCATTTTTTAGAGCATCGAGGAACAGAGAGTTTGCAAAAATAATAGGAGAAAACAGATATTTCAAGACAGAGCATCGAGGAAATGTTCTGCAGCCAGTGATATTTATTAGAGAAAACCAAAAAAAAACAAAGATATTATTGTAAGTCATTCTCAAATCCATTCAGAAATTTGAACAACAAATATATATATATATACGTGTAATTCCATAAGATTTGAGCAAGTAACCATTATCCAGGATTAGACTGATAAAATGGTAGACTTTTAAAATTATGTAATTTCATAAAATCCAATCAAGTAGCTATTAATAACCAATTTAAATAACTCTGCATATAGGATTATGGTGATAAAATTGTAAACTTTTTAAATCATGTAATTCCATAAAATTCAATCCAGTAGCTATTAATAACCAGATCAAATATTTCTGCATATAGGATTAGGCTGGTATAATTGAAAACTTTTAGAATTTTGGTAATAAATCCAACTTAGCCATCCTGGATGCAAAGGCCATCACACGCTTTGCCGTACTACGTATCTTTACCGTTCCATCTTTATTACTTTAGCTCCCCATAACAATTTCTCCTATTATTTTTCCAAACTCTCTGTTCCTCGATGCTCTGTCTTGCTTTATAGAGATAACCAAAAACATCAGATGTGAACATGTGATTCTTCAGTACATTTCTCCCTTAAAAAAATACCCAACGAAAACAATTACGGTTGGGCCATATGATCCATTATAGCAAACTTAAAATGGAAAACGAAGCTCTAACATCTCATGCATTTTCTAACAAAAAAAATCAGGATAAATAATATATACATTTAACCTTAAATATGGATAGTTCAATTGGTGGAGAATATTGGTTCATCTCTCAACTATGTAACATCGGCACTAACCTGGGAATGTTTTTCTTTTTATTATTCTAGAAATATGTAAATATATTTATATATATATATATATATATAATAGAGTAATAACAGTGTTCATCAAATGATGCATTAAAAATTAGCATATCACTTTCTATCCTGATATCTATTAATATACATAAAAATAATAAAATAATTTTCATTATAAAATCCCGCCCGTAGGGCGGGTCGTCTCTAGTCATTAATGTAATATTTTTCATGATTAATTAATGAATATTAAAAAGGCCACAAAAGAGCAGACAAAGGCCCACTAACACTAACAAAGCAACAATAAAATATCAAAGCCCATAAATCAAACTTATCGTAAGCCCATGAATCATATTCGTTCCCATTTCTAACAGAGTCACCTGATTCTCACAACTCCACAAATACAGGAAACAAAAAAAGAAAAACAACACAACACAATCAAAATGGCCATGATCACGCGCCACACCGCCACGCGCCTCCCTCTCCTCCTCCAATCCCAACGCGCCGCCGCCGTCTCCCACATCCACACCTCCCTCCCCTCCCTCTCCCCCTCGACAACGCCGACATCCTACACCAGACCAGGTCCACCTTCCACCTCCCCTCCTCCGCCGGGTCTCTCGAAGACGGCGGAGTTCGTGATCTCGAAGGTCGACGATCTAATGAATTGGGCTCGTAGGGGATCGATCTGGCCCATGACGTTCGGCCTCGCCTGCTGCGCGGTGGAGATGATGCATACGGGAGCTGCTCGTTACGATCTGGATCGATTCGGTATCATCTTTAGGCCGAGTCCTCGTCAATCTGATTGTATGATTGTCGCTGGGACGCTTACTAATAAGATGGCTCCTGCTCTTCGCAAGTAAAGGCCCTCTCTGGTTTTTTGATTGCTGTTGTGATTGTTTTGATAGAATCGTTGGAATTAGGGTTTCAGGATTGGGTATTGTTGTCTTTTGTATGGTGATTTAGGGTTGGTTAGCTTAAATTGAGAGTTTTTGTATGAATAATGAAAGACTAAACTGGGGAGATTAGGTACTGTGAATATCATTGTTTAGGGTAGATTTTCTTGATTTTTTAATTATTTTTTGGTTCAGATTCATAAACTTTTGTGAAAACTTAGCATTCAGGGATGAAGATTAGGTATGGACTATGTAAGCTCTTTCGTGGGGGAAGGATTTCATGTTAGTGCCAATGTTCTAATAATCGCTAGGTGGTTAGGTGTTTTATAGAGGACTATTAGTTAGGTGGGCGCCTAGGCCGATATTTTTGAACGTTCAGACCGACTTATAAAAAAAAATTGTTTGAAAAAATCGTTTCACTCGTGTACCTAAAAGTTGCCGACTAGGCGGTTGCCGATGCGCCCCTAGATCGATTTTTAAAACAAACTTATAGATTTATCAATCCGAAGTTGGAGATTTCATTTGTTATCATGTTTTGTTTTAGCTCCTTGTGGTGACTGTCTTGAATCCTGTTTGGTGACTTTAGTTTGGTTGTCTTTGATACTTGATGTCTATTTTGTTCTTGAGGTGTGTTGTTATTTAGAAATTGATATCTAACACACTTGATAAGGTTCCTGTTTTTCTTGTTTGGTGCTATGAAGTCCTAATTGGACTGCTTAGGTTATGTTCGTTTAATGAGAATCAAGTTGGTAAGAAATGTATGTCTAGGGTTTTTTCTGAGCTTATACTGATGATGTTTTTTTAGGTATCAGACTGTAGAGATAGAAACTATCCCAAGTCAATCCAGGGGACACCCTAGGTTCTCAATACATCATCCACTGAGACGAGCAAATACTAGATGCGTTTGAGAGATGAATGATAGCTTTATAAGTTTGGTCTAGAGTAGTTCTCATGCCTATTAGAGTGATCAAACTAGTTATATGTTCAGAACCCGCTTTGTTCAAATTACTCAAAATAAATCTTGGATCTGGGATAGTTGAGAGAAGTTGTCTATGTGGATCAACTCAAATGTGTTTTTTTTTAAAGATGCTCTGCTTGTTTATCCTATTTGAAGAAGAAGTTATAGTTTCTAATATGTGGAAACAATGACAGGGTTTATGACCAAATGCCCGAGCCAAGGTGGGTGATTTCGATGGGAAGTTGCGCCAATGGAGGTGGATACTATCACTACTCCTACTCTGTGGTTCGAGGGTGTGACAGGATTGTTCCAGTTGACATTTACGTCCCTGGGTGTCCTCCAACAGCCGAGGCATTGCTCTATGGACTCCTCCAGCTTCAGAAGAAAATCAACAGGCGCAAGGATTTCTTGCATTGGTGGAACAAGTGAAGAAGCCTTAAAATCCTATCCATCTTCCATTGTGAAAGGGAGACTTCTTTTCAGACAAATTTTACCAAGATTTGGGGATAATAAAACGTGGACGTTTCAACGCAATGTTTCTTTTTGAGGTGGAGATGCCATGTAAACCAGTGCTTTTATAAGTTTGTTGTGGAAACTTAAATAAACATAAGATTCTGTTGTCCAAGTTCTTTTTATTGGATCGATTCACACGCTCTTTGTTTTTCCTTTCTTTCGTTTTAGAGCTTTGTATTTCCATTAAACAGTTCCACACATTTAATGGAAGATTCTTGTTTAGAATGTTGTATCCATACCATCTTGGTTAAGACCAATGACTGAAAGGGAGAAACAGTATGAATGTTGTTAGTATTTTCAATAAAATGGTACGTTTGAGGGAACCAAAGAGATTAATTTTGTGTTGCTTTATAAATGGCTTTCTCATCATATGTTCAACGAGAGTTAGAAGTACAACATTTGCCGTAGGGAAAAAATAGCTTCAAAGGATCCATCAATTTTCATTACATGACCTGATCCCAAACTTAAGATCAAATCGTCACTAACAAACCCCATCAAGACTTTTGTTGAAGAGAGAGTAGACTGCTTTCTTTTTATGATTATTATTATTGTAAAGGTGCTAATGCTTCTTGAGGGCGTTCATCTTGTCCCTGAGGTAATAGAGTTTGGCTCTTCTCACTCTCTTCTTGTCCAACACCTTAATCTCCCTCAGGTTTGGCGAATACCTGTCACCCACACACACACCCACTCACATATCATTTTTGCCATTTGCGCATGCTCTATGAGAGAGAAAGAGAGTACATAAGTTAAAGTGCTTACAAGGGAAACATGGATTCGACACCCACTCCAGCCACAAGCCTTCTAATCCTAAAAGTGGAGTTAAGACCAGCATTACGCCTTGCTATCACAATTCCTTTTACAATTGAAACACGCCTCTTGTTCTCAGGCACTTCCTGTTTCAAACAAGGCAAATATAACAAAGTTATGCACAAGTCTATGATATTTTGATCACATCCTCCCAACAGTTAAAGAAAAGAAAATGCAATTTGTAATATCTAGAGGAGTTCAAATGCTAGTACATACCACTTTGAGCTGGACAATGTAACCAGGCCTTATCTCAGGTATCTCTCTACGAGTTCTCACTTCCTCAACTGCCTCCTTGTCTACAATCTGCATAAGAATACCGCTTTTTTAATCATGACAACAGTGGTTTATTTATAGCCAAAATCGGAGTTGTACCTGCATGATATGCTTGGCGGTTTTATCAAGCCGCTTGAACTTGATTCTCGGAGACACATCAGGAGCTGACACAACAGGGAACCCTCGAGGCACAGAATCTCCAACGGTGGAAAAGTACCTCGATGAATACATAAAGCTTTGCTTCTGCCACAGACATTTGCCACAATCAGAGTGTGAAGAAGGCTAAATCTAAACATAAAGAAAGCACAAAACCGAAAACAAAGATCAACCCACAGAGTAAAGCTTCCGTCTTTAACTAAACATTGGCAACTAATCATCATATATTCATCATGAGACTATTCAGAAAGATCAACCCACAGAGTAAAGATTTCATTTTTAGCACTAAAACAGAGAGAGAGAGAGTGGCTTACAGGTAGTGGGGAAGAGAAAGGAACAGCCTTTGTCAACGAGCTGATGAGATACGAATCGAAAGCTCTTGTGGAAGGGAAAGGATCATACCCTCCTCCTAGCTTTCTCAATTCATTCTCAGACGAGCTTGACGAAGTGAAGCGAAGAAGAGTGTTGGAGATGGAGAAACGGTTCCTCTGAAGCAACCTTGTACTGCTACTACGAATCGATTGCATTTTTTTGTCCGACAAGAGTGAGAGACGATCTAATAATGCCCCTCCAAAATAGTCTGTTTATGTTTTTTGCCCAGAGATTGGCGGAGTTTGAGCCAATCTTGCCAAAACCCTCGCTTCTTCTTCTTCCTCTTCCACGGTTCTTCTTTTTCTTTTTTTAATTAGTTATTTGCATATGAACCCCTGATGTTTATACTTACAACAAATAAGCCCTTTCTCGTGAGAAACTAGTTGAAATGTTAAAAAGGAAGAGAGTGCTAGTTGCTCAAAAATAAAGGAAGAGAGTGCTAATAGCAAAATGCCAATTTGACCAAAGAGAAACTTTTATGACAGAGAATAAAAAAACATATGGAATACTGTTGTGTTTTACTCCCTCCGTTTCATATTAGGTGTCGTTGTAGAGAATTTTTTGCGTTACAAATTAAGTGTCGTTTTCGGTTTTCAATGCAAAATTTATTAATTTTATTATGTAAGTAGTTTTTCTATTGGTTAAAATATGGTTAGGTGTGTAGGTAATTGTGTTTTTATATAGGAAATATGTAAAATTAATTGTTTCTTTAATCCGTGTGCATAGCTACAAAGTGACACTTATAATAAAACAGAGGGAGTAATATTGTAAAATTTATATAAATTAATAATATTAGAACTACAACAAAATTATATTTTTTTATTAATTTATATATTATTAATTAATTAATATATTGATTGAATTAAAAAATTAATTTGAAATTATAAAATAATATTATTTATAGAGATTTTTAATATATATTAATCTATAAAGTATTAATTTAAAGAGGATATAATGTAGTAATCATCTGTATAATATTATTTGAGAAGTCACTTTCTTAGGTGTCGCGCTCACGTTAACTCTCACGCTGGTTGATTACTATGATACCCCTAATGAATTAGAAATATATTTAAATATTATTATTTTCTTTTTAAAATCTTCCAAATAACAATATAAAACAAAAAGGAAATATTTCTCAAGTTTACAAAACTATTTAAAAACGAAAATAAGTATATATATAATATGGTTTCATAAAAAAAGAAAGTTTACAAAATAGTAATATTTAACTTAAATATATTTTTAAATAACATAAATTATACTTTTTAAGTAATTATACTTTATATATATATCTTCTTACAAGAAAAAAATATTTGTATATAATGTGTTTTCATAAAAAAATTTCATACAAATAATCTTGATATTAGAAAAAGAAATATTTTTTCTTTAAAAAATAATTTAAACAATAAAATATATATTTTCAAAGTAATTATATTTTGTATATATCTATCTATTTTATTAGATGATTACATAAAATAATTAAGTAACATAAACTGATATATATTTAATTGACAAAAAATTATAATTAGTATATTTATTTGATTATAATATCTTACCGTTACAGCAAAAATATAAATTATATTTTACTTATATGATATAATTTCTCAAAAACAATCAATTTTTACTGCATATTTTAAGAGATATTAAAAACAAAACTAAAAATAAATTTAATGTAAACATCTTTTGATCAGATAACTACAATTCTTTTAAAATATCATAACACTATATAATTTAACGAGGTAGATATATTATATTTTAATAATTAAAATTATATGTTTTCTTAATAACTCTTTTGATGTTTAATTTTATGTTTTTATGTTTGTGGAATTTGATATAACCATAATCAAAATACTTAAGAAAATTATAATTCTTTATTTTACAAATTAGTTAAAATAAATTTCAGTTTACCATCCAATCAATCTAAGGCATAAATTATTTAAAATTTCTAAAATATTTAATTATTGTAAATATTGATATGTTTTCTAAGGCATCAATCAGACTTTTAGTTTTTTTTTTTCGTTCTAAGCACAAAAAAATATTAAAATACATAATCTTACTAAGATATACTTATATTTCTAAGATAACAACCAACATAAATATAAATAAAACAATTAATCAAAAATTTAAGATATTTAGAATAAAAAAGATTATAGTTGAATTCAGAGAAATATATAGAATCCAATATATATATATATATATCCAAATGAAAACTAACTAAATATAATATATCTAAAATTATATATAACTAAAATAATATAATATTATTAATATAATTATACACAAAAGCTATAAATTAATATAAAAGTTAAAGTAAATATCAATCAACTATTATAATATATTTATTTTATAAATATTTATGCCCGTGCATGAGCACGGGGAAATCACCTAGTACGTTTCTATTTTGCAAACATATGCGCATTAACGGGTTTCTTTTGTTTAAGAGCATCTCCAACCCCACTCCATATTTTACTGCAAAATGGAGTGGAGAATGGAGTAATGAAGAAACAAAAATCTCATTACTCCATATTTGGAGTAATCACTTTTTTGTTTATTCATCACTCCATTTCCCACTCCATTTTGCAGTAAATTATGGAGTGGGGTTGGAGATGCTCTAAATCTCTAAACACATTTTCCTTTCGACTCTTTTGCATGTCGCTTTGTCAATTTCTTTTCCTTCTCGTCTTATATTTCTTTTTCTCCAGGATTAGGCAGCAATCAAACATGTTAACAAAATGCGTCGATGGAAAGCTTTTTCCTTTATCTCGAAGAATAACTTTCTTTCGTTTGAAATTAATAAGGTAGATATATGGTCATGGCCTACAAAATCATGAGGCAACAACGTACATTCAATTCGAAACCAAACGTCTAGTCATGTGAAAATAGGATCTTTGGGATTTAAACTGTAATTATTTACTTCAAGAATCGGATTCTCTAAGTTTAGAGTTCCTAAGTTTATATGATCACTTCGCAAATTTTGAGAAATTAATTTTTGATTATGGCGCATTTACGAAAATAATCAACAAAATAATTATACTAATCAATGGTTGTTTAATAAGAAGACAAAACAGAGTAATTGTTAATCCCTTTAGGCGTAACTCTGTGTAAATTGTAATCTCAAAGTTTCTTTTTATATAAAACCGATCATACGTTTCGATCTTCAAATTATATGCAAAATTTCAATTTAATTTCGGGATGGAATGATTCGATTTTGAACGCGTAGGATAATAATAACGAAGCTCGTATCGTAAGCATAAGTTGGATAAATAATTAAAGCAGAGAACGGAAAAGACAAATCTGAGAAACATCCATGAATAAATAAAATATAAAAATATAATCACAACCAAAAACAATATCGCATTAACTAAAAAATCGTCTAGAAAATCACAACGTCACGACATGAAGGGTAGATATAGTAATAGAAGAGGCAAGATCTATATAGCTCCGGAATACACACGAATATACCATACGGAAAATTTTCAAAAACTATCTCTGTGCATAAGACTTAGATCCGAAGAGCAGAGCCGAAAACAAGAGCTGCAACTGCTGCAACACCAGCTGACACGATGGACGGCGAGAAAACACCAGATCCAGAGGTAGGACTTGGAGCCGGTGCCTCAACCTGAGCAGAAGCGACGGTAGCTACGACGGAGACAATCACCGCGACGAGAGCAACAACGGAAGCTTTAGAGAACGCCATTTCAGAGATTTGTTAGGGTTTTGAGTTGTTTAGAGATGTTATGAGTTTTCTAAAATTGAGAGTACTGAAAAATTAATGTGACGAGGCGTATATAAAGAGGACGGGCAGACGCGGAGCTGCCCGGTTTAGTTGACCGGTTTTAATTACAGCTGGTCCACCTGCAAAAAACGACGGCTGATATTCTCCCACGTGTTAACTAAGATCGTGACAGGCTATCAGTATCATCTCTCCGCCACGGCGCCGTTTGGAAAGTTATTTATTCTGCAACGGATATGCGATCTTTGTAACGTTTCCCGAGGCGCGTGTATCGAACTTCACCAATCAAGAAAAGCACAGCCGTCGATGAGACTGTTTGTTTTTAGCGCGTGAGGAATGTTGATGAGCTGTCTATTTTTGTTTTTCTGTAGTGACGCGGTTCCGTGAAGGAAACGGCCAAGATGCGCAGACATGTTTAACGGCTAATTTTCAAAGAGTTTTTTTTTAAAATGCGTATATGAGAAGGCAGCTAGTTCTAATTTCTCCTAAAGCAATGTTAATTTTCATTACTTGTAAAGAACTCTTTTATTTATTAATTGATTGTCTTTTGTTTATGTTTGGTGAACAAACAAATGTTGGTTTTCAAGATTTAGAACTCTTTAACATATTATTATGGGCTAATTTGTGTAATAGTCAATTTTAGGATCAATATTAAGAATATAGCTATTGATATGACATAATTAAATGGATAACACTTTCTTCCCTTTTCTTCCCGGTTATAACCTTGTGTCGTACAAGTACATGGTAAAAAATAATTAAAGAATAAACATGGATAAAAAGAAAGTGATAGACGTGGCTTATGTAGAAACCAATAATCTTTTATAACATAGATAACAAATAGTATATAACAAACTAGATGGTATAGTAAGTAATAGTAAAATTATTAAATAGAATGGTATATTTGAAAATGAATTGTGTTCACCTTCTCGACATATATGGCTGATTTCTACACCCAAACCCAAATACTAATCACTAAACCCTAAAAGAAAATATAAACCCTAATCCAAATATCAAAATATGAACTATGTATATAATATGAAGCATTATCAAAATAGAATAGAAACAAACGAAATAGCATAGTACATATTGTTTAAATTTTAAAATATCTAAACCCTAAACCATAAATTAAACCCAAAACATTAATCACTAAACCCTAAACCCTAAACCCTAAAAAGAAATATAAATCTTAACCCAACGGAACATTATCAAAATAGAACAGTAACAAACGAAATACCATAGTATATATTGTTTAAGTTTTAAAATGTCTGATTACAGAGAATAATGTAATAATTACTTTAACAACAACCTAAACATTCCATAAACTAAACCCAAAACACTAATTACTAAACCATAACATCATTAATTTGTTTTTTTTTCCAGAACATCAATGATTAAGGAACGGAGGGAGTATATGTTACGTGATGTTGTAATCATCATTAATTGGTAATCATTAATGTGGTAAATGTAGACATATTTTTCATTCAAGGCAAGTTGTGAGAATTAAATAATAAACAAGTAATAATATAATTGTTAAATGACTATAATAATAACTATAAAAATGACCTTATTATATATTGAGATCTGAAAAAAATAATCTAATAAAAATATAACTAAAAAACAATAACGAATACATTGACTAAATAATAACATGTCATTGGAACGAAAATTAGATAATTTCATCTCTTCCAGCAGATTATTACTAAAACATGAGTGTTATTACAATGCAATTATTTTAAAAATTGTCATGAGCACAAGAAAAGACTCAATGTGTTTATTTGAAATAAATAATAATGAATAACGCGGATAGTGACAAAAGACTAAATGTGTTGTTCCTGGAAACTATTCACAAATAAATATTTTTAAAAAAAATTCGAGATCACACGCCCATGATTTTTTTGTGGGAATGTTTTTTGTTGACAGAGTGTTGATCCTCCAAGGTTACTGTCATGATCTTCTTGGTTTTTTCTTTTGGACAAATGAGTTCCTGAAAAATCACCACAAGGAAATATCACCTAAGGACTGCAACATCATGACCTGCAAGAGAAATAGTTCATCTCATTAGTATGCTATTGTAACTATAAAATCTNTTTGTTGACAGAGTGTTGATCCTCCAAGGTTACTGTCATGATCTTCTTGGTTTTTTCTTTTGGACAAATGAGTTCCTGAAAAATCACCACAAGGAAATATCACCTAAGGACTGCAACATCATGACCTGCAAGAGAAATAGTTCATCTCATTAGTATGCTATTGTAACTATAAAATCTAAGCAATTATAAAGTGTAATACTGATTTAGAAGGCAAAACATAAAATATTAATTTTTTATAATAAATATTTAAACTGAATAAAGAAAGTTATTAGATCTACAATACCATAAGCTGATTTGAATTAAATATTAGTTTTCTTGTGCAAGTTATATTAATTTAAAATAAGGAATGAAGCAATTTACAGAAATATATTAAAAATTTGGAAAAAAAATCATAGTAAGCTATGAAACAATTTAAAGAAAGATATTAAAATTTGACTATCATAAATTTGCAATAATTGACATACCATTTAAGACAAGTAATTGATGGCAAAATAAGGTAATCAACATATCAACTTGCGCAAGTAATTGATAACAAAATAGGGAAAGTTATTAATAAACGAATTAACTAATTAAAAGCTTTTACCAACAAGGTATATATTTCCTAATACCATAATATGAGTATAAATTAAAGAATAATAAATAGTTTTGACTTTGATATATTGTAAATCTATAGAAATATATAACACAATCCCATAGAAACCTGCAAAGAAAATGTAATAAAAATTTTAAATATAACCCATAAGTAATATAAAATAAGAAGAACAGTTATGAATTAAAAATGTCCCATAGAAACCTGCAAAAGATTGTCAAATTTTGTTAGCAACTGTACAATATAAAATAATTTAATAGATTTCTAAATTTTATTGAGACGAAAATAATATTAAATTTGCATATCGCTACTGAAACAAACTGAAAAAATGGTTTGTAGTTAACTACAACAGGTCTTTCGTATGTGTTATTTATCTGTTAATAGAAAAAACAAACAAATGTAAGAATTTATAAAATATTACAGTAAATGATGATCTAATTCAGTAGTCAATTTCTCAAATTTCGAATCCTTTAAACTATAGAATTTACCAATCGCCGGTGATCAATAAGGTGGGATATTCCCGAATTCATACGACACTACAAGAAATATTAATATTGGTAGCACCCGAGAAACGCTACTATAAGGTTTTCGTAGCGTTTCGAAGAACGCCGTGACAGCCGCAGCTATAGTAGACCCTCCTTCTATCGTAGCGTATTTTCGTGTGCTATAAAAATCAGAGATATTATAGCATTTATGTTTCGCTATATTAAAATGTTTTAATAACACTATAATTGTGTTATTATATGATTTACTATGGCATGTTTCATGTGCCGTAACATAATTTATAATGAGATATATATAATGCTATAATTAAAAATAAACTATTTTAAAAAATAAATAAATTATTAAAATTTAATTATTAATAATAATTAATTAAAAATAAAATAAATATATTTATTGATTAAAATCAATATACAAATAATTAAAAACACATTAAACCAAAAACTAATTAAAAAATCGGTTTACAAATTAGACCGGTTCACATACAAACCGGGTCGAAAAACAAAATCTAAAAAAACCCTAACTTCTTCCCACCTCCTCCGCACTTCCACCCCAGCTCTGCCTCCTCCGCCGCACAACTGATAAGCATTTCTTGTTACACAGATACGATCCTCCTTGGATCTATCAACAACCTCCGACTTGGCCTCTTCTTTTTTAAAGCTTAAACCTTCGGTGATTTCATGAACTTTTGATAGCTTAGGAAGCCATTTAATCTAGCAAAACAAGAACATGGGCACATTAGGAGGACCNTCCGCCGCACAACTGATAAGCATTTCTTGTTACACAGATACGATCCTCCTTGGATCTATCAACAACCTCCGACTTGGCCTCTTCTTTTTTAAAGCTTAAACCTTCGGTGATTTCATGAACTTTTGATAGCTTAGGAAGCCATTTAATCTAGCAAAACAAGAACATGGGCACATTAGGAGGACCAACATATTAACCCAGACATATTTTTTATTCATCTCTGCAATGAAATCATGGACCCAAAAGTCATTAAATTACCTAAGAACGTTCTCCTATGTTGAGGTCAGCAGCTTTGTAACCCTAATACTTCACCTTCGAAGCCTCCAGCCTCTAGAGTATACGCCTCTGTTCGAGTATCCGCCTTTGTTCGCTTACTCCAGTCGCATCGCTCAATCGAAATTAACCTATTAAATCAAAAAGTAAAGTAAATCTGAGATGAACTAGCTAAACAATGGGTAAATCTGAGATGAACTTCAAGATCTCGTACCCGTTCTTCTCCTCGAAACCCACCGATCTTCAACCGAAGGTTTCAAAAGGAGCGTGGTCGTGAAGCTTCCGAACTCTCTATTATCTCTCTCTCTCTCTCTCTCTCTCTCTCTCTCTGTTCTCTCACTCGACTCTCTTCTCAGAATAACGCAAGCTGAGACAGAAAAAAAAAAGAGAAAATAATTAATCTGAGTCGTTGATTCTATCTAATCCAATGGTGCAAATGGTGATCCTTGTATTGTGGATCTGACTTAAAACAATTGACCAATGAAGAAGAAGTACGAGGATAACCAAATGTTTTACTTCTGGCCATTAGATTAAAGTTAATCGATGGTCAAGATTGATCAGTTAATAAAACTGTTATTTCATTAAACAGTTATTTAATTAATTGTCATTATATGTTTGACGATTTTTTTATATAAAAACTAAGTTATTCATCTACATTTATAAAAATAATAATATAAAATTAACAAAACAACTTGAAGTTAAATAGAACTAATACTATAATATTAACAAAATGATTAGAGAGTTTAGGGTTTAGGAGTATAGTGGTTTGGGTTTAGATCTTTGAGATTAGATTCTGTAATTTTTGATGTTAAATAATAAAAAGATTGGAG